ACAGCAGCAGCAGCAACCGCAGCAGCAGCAACAGCAGCAGCAGCAACAGCAGCAGCAGCAACAGCAACCCCAACAACAACAACAACAACAGCAGCAGCAGCAGCAACAACATACAAATCCTATTCAATCTTGGATTCTTCTTGGTTTTGGTTTATCCGTATTTTTGGCCATTTTCTTATATTATTTTAAGAAGTCTTAAAATTGCCGTTCATGTAATTTGAATAAAAAAGAAGAATATAACAAATAAAAAAAACTAGTTTGAGTTAATGAATGACAAGAATTTACACATCCACACTCAAGATTTATAAGAATCATGATTTGAGAAGCCATGTATTCGTTCATTTGCTGATCAAAACATCATATGTCACATTAGTTTAAAGGTGCAATACGCCGTTGTGGTCGACATGAGTTAAAGAATTGAACTAATTCTTTGCGATAATACTTACTAGCTAATGTATAAAGATAAAACGAAAAGATCTTGTCAACCATACTAAGGAAAATACCTATATTATAAAATACTTTGCCACATGTACCTATTTCTTCTTAGCTGAATAGAGATCGTTGATGATCTAGAGGTTGTTAGATTTTCCGTACACAGTTATTTAAACGAGATATTTCCAACGATACGTGTATTAAATACAACAATAAAACAATATATGTAAAAATTCAAGCTTGTGGATATGAGTATGAGGTGAGGAGAGTGGGAACACTGACACCCTCTAGCAAATACAATCGTAAACGGTATGAAACGATACCGTTTTCTGCAGGAATTATGCCGTTCTATAGTCATTTCATGACGTAGATATTCTAATAATAATCTTTTCTTCTCCCTTGTCTATATTATCTAGCATGGAAAACTACAGGAAACTTGAATGTCGCCCGATATGGTCACACAGCATCCACTTTAACAAATGGAAACATATTAGTTGTTGGTGGAGATAATGATAGTTACCTGAATAGTGCCGAGTTATATAATCCATCAACAAACACTTGGACAACTACAGGAAGCATGAGTGTTGCACGAAGTCATCACACAGCATCCACTTTAACAAATGGAATAGTGTTAGTTCCTGGCGGAAATAATACTGTTTATCTCAACAGTGCTGAATTATATAATCCATTAACAGGCACTTGGACAATTACAGGAGACATAAGTGTCGCACGATGTTATCACACAACATCCACTTTAGCAAATGGAAAAGTGTTAGTTGCTGGCGGAAGTAATGGAGGTATCCTCGCTAGTACTGAACTGTATTAATCAATATTGACAAGACAACATTCTTTTTTTATAAATTTAAATCATACATTTTTCTTTGCACTCGAACTATTTAATCATGCACGCTTCGAATAAATTATCATTTTCTTAATAATATATCAGTCGCATTGATATCGGAGAGTTAACTATATAGCAACTGTCAAGAAAGAGACACTTGACGATGTGGGTGAGGGTGGGTAGGTGGGCGACGACATGGGTTACGAGATGGAAAATTCATACACATCCACACCCACCCTCAAGTTCAATATATAAAAACTAAATTACGTTTGGATATTTTTCTGCTCTTGCTCTGTTAGAACTGTTTCTGATATTATTTGCATTAGTCAGATATAAGTAGATTTGATTTTATTGAACGTCGACAATCTTTTAGAATAAGGTTCATACAATGAAAAAAGCAACGAATTTTATTTTTACAAAACAAATACAACAATCATTATTGTAGATATATAAGCGAATCTCGTCTTGATAACTATGCATTTATTGTTATGGTTTGTCTCTTTTTTAGTTCATTATGGTGTGTCATTGTTTTCATCGTTGTTTCAATGCTGAATGTTTGCGTTTTTTCTGCTTGAAAAACATTAATCTTAGCATAAACGATTCTTTTGACATCTTTGTTAGTAAGAAATATTGTGACCGATTCAACAATAGCTGCCATTGTAATAAATAATACTGCCATTGAATATAATGGCCATGGAGTTGCACTGAATTTATTAATTAGAATACATAAAAGATATGGTGTTCCACCAATTAGTACAATACCCAATAGCATTAGAATATTTCGATATACTTTGAGATTTCGTTTATTATTTTTTCTTGTAATGGTACTTGGTTGAACACGATTCGTATGTGTTGTATGTTTTAAAATAAGAACATAAAGAGTAATAATAATATTTACAGGAATAACAAATGCAACTACCATTAATGTAAATGATGTATGAAATACTTTACTAGTTAAAGTACAAAAATGAGATTCGGATTCATATTGAAAACCTATTGGTGAGATCAAAAAACTACATGCTATAATTATAGGAAGTGTCCAATTTAATATGATCATTATGATATTTGTACGATATGTTAAAAGTTGTCGATGTCTATGAAGAACAGTTATGAAATAGCGTGAAATTGCTTGAATAAGATAAGACAATATTTTTACAATACAACAAAATAAATAGAAACAAGCTCGAAATCTACAAAATGTAGTATTTGAATAATTAGTTTCTTTTTGATTAGTTTGAAATACATCTGGTATTTGAATGGCAATACTAAGAACAAAAATAAGAAAAGCAGTACAAGAATTACAAATGAGAAGATTTGAGATTGATCGACAATGAGAATGCCAATGAGAAATGATAATAAATACAATAATTGATGAGAATAAAGCTGTGATTAGAAGAATAAGAATATAAAGTATACCAATGATAATAAAGAAAATGTCTTCACTTTCCATGTTAGCAATAAAAAAGAATCCTCTTAGAAAAGTAACAACTATTTTATATCTAAAATTAGTTAATCTAATTATTAAGATGAAAATAGATAAATAAAAAAATGGATGACAAGTACTGGAAATGAAATATTTATAGGTCGGTGGACTGACGCACATTTTATCTTTTGTGCATTCAACTCATTAAAATATTATATAAAACTCGTTTGACAGATGTGAAAGAAAAAAGACGTGATCTATTCTGATATAGTATTTCATGCATTCTTTTTCTTTATAAGTCCATATTATATTTTTGTTTTGAAAGATTGAATATGCATGTTTTATTTTCAAAAAAATTAGAAAAAACAAAATATAGTTTCATAATTAATAAGATAATGAAAAAGATGACAAATCAACCATAAGTTCTACCAAAAGAAACAAAATCTTGTATCTTTTCTTTTTACTGGCACGAACTAAAAAAAAGTTCATATATCATCGGTATAAAAAAGTAAATTCTAATTTTTTCTCTAACACGGGTTTAGGACAGTTGCTCGCAGAAACTACTTCGCTGTGTATAAGTTGCAGGCGAAAATTCGATGCAGGAAAATTTTAAATTCACCTATAGAAAAAATTTTAATTTTTCCCGCATTTTAATTTCTTCTGCAACATATATATGAATTAGAGACAAAGATAATCTTTAAGGACAACAACCGAGAAAAAAAATACGGAAGAGTCGAAAAAGTTTTGAACGGAAAGAGTGTCGGGTTTATTCTAAATAGTTCTTGATGACTCCATTTGTAATTAAAGCCAGTTCTTTCAGTTGTTTGTTCAAGAATTTTGTTTTTTACGCTTTAATGATCGCCTACTCAGCAGCAGGATGAAAGTAAAAAATAGATATTTGAGTCTTCTCTTTACATTTTCCTCAGCTACTCGTTACAATTAGGTAGCTATATAAACAAAACAAAGCAAAATTACCTTACTTCACTGTAATTTGTCTTAATTCAAATTATAAAATGCGCCGAAGTCCTATGAAGTATTTGAGCTTTTATTTAGGATAAACTCATATCTATTAATTTCAAGCCAGTACTCCTGTGATACATATCTATGGTAGATTTGAAAAAGCTAAAAAACATTTCGAAGATAACTTTGAAAGATCCTTGAAGTAGTACGAAAGTTTTGCTTTTTTCTGCATATAGCCATATAATTTGCGAACATCTGGCATTCTTGTTAGAATACTTTCAACGTTTACTAATGTTATAATACATTTAATAAAATTTTTCTTGTTTCAAAATAAGCTAATGTCTAATTCCTGAAAAACGAATATATACATATGCAAATGGAGTAGATAGTTTTAAGAGTAAGACATAGAGAGTACGTTCATGAAAAAAAAGTAAAAGTAACATTATTTGATCTATTCAGGCATTGCATTTACTAGGCTATTTTAGTCATTTATATAATTTCTATAATAATAGATTTTTTTGTTAAGTTGAACTTCACTTAAGTAACATTGTTAAAATGTAAACGGTAGATTAAACTCATTGAATACTAGTCTCTTCTATACTTATTCAATAATCTTTTGAAGAAATGTATGAGATTTACTTAAAATATAACGCCATGTATTTATCGAAAATGTAATGAATAGAATTGAAATTACATATAAACATAACCTTGAATATTATTATATTAACTTTTAATTAAGTCTCAAGTTCGTATTTATAAACCTAGAGCTTAGGACAAATTGTGAATTATAGAGATAATATTAAAAAAACAACACCAATCAAACAAAACATTATATAGATATTAGATGATTACAGTGGATTATTTTGAAGAACAAACAATATATGAATGGAAATAGTAATTGTGTAAATGATAACAATGACACAAGAGTCTAACGCTCGAATATTAGCAATTGACCCAAATTGAAAATGTTAATTATCAAAAATAAAATAGTATCCCACTGGAACAATGATGAATGTGCGTGATAAAAATAGGCAGTTGCCAATCCCTCGCTAACTTTTCTCTGTTCTTTTTCAGTAGAAACGTTAGAGAAAGGAATTATGTTGCCTCGAATAATAAGCTTTCAAAACAGCTTTTGCATCACGATTGACATCTTCTCACTAATTTCCTAAATTTTCACTACAACATTTATGTATAATATCGATGTATAAATTAATGAATATACAAACATAAATCTTTTTGACAAGGAACTTATTATTATAAGCGGGAAAAAGGTAGATAAAATTAGAAAGTTTTTTTTTTGAAAGGGAATGTTGTCTAATTATAAATAATTTCCATTGATGTAGTTTTAAATATGATTCATTGAATATATCATTAACTAAATAAGATTAGCTAATAACTGGTAATATCTGATTTCTATTGATATGATTTGTTTTTCTGGATTGTATCGCGTGTACTTGTGTACGATGAAAACCTATTTTTTCATAAAGCTTCTTCTTAATTTTATCATTAGTAAAAAATAATACCAGTGCTTCAAGTGCTATAGATAATGAAATAGATAGTGTTTTAATTGAGTACAATATCCAGGGTGTTTCAGAGATAATGTTAATAATAATACAAAGCAAATAAGGTACTCCACAAACAAGCATTATAGCAACAATAAGAAGAATATTATGAAACACTTTTATATTTCGTTTATATCTTATTATATTGTTAGCATCGGATTGAAAACGATCAAAATGTGTTAAATTCCATAGAATTAATCCATAGAGACCAATGATTATTGTTAAAGGCATAAAGAAAATAAAGATACTAACTATAAGTGCTCCCAATAAATATTTTGTTGAAGGATAACATATCCTTGATTCAGACTCATATTGATAAGCTAATGGTAATACAAGCAGACTAGCTGATATAATTAAAGGAATAATCCATCCTAATATAATTATAATAGTATTCACACGAAAAGTTAAAAGAATTTTTTGTCGATAAAGAACAGTTGCAAAATAACGAAATATTGCTTGAGCCAAAATTGTAAAGATTTGAGTTCCAGCTGTATACAAACTAAAAAAGCCACATAATTGGCAGAATAGGAAATTGATATTATTATTATTATTATTAGAAATCATCAATGGTGTTTGAATAAAACAACCGATAGCATATAAAAAGAAAATAAATGATGAATTCAAAACAAGAAGATTAGAAACTGAACAAAAATGCATTTTCCAATTCAAGACAATAGTTAAGACGATGATTAATGAAAATATAATAGTAATCATATTTAATATGCAATAAATAATAGCAATTGTTGTAAAATAGATTTGATCATTCATTCTTACTTTATTTTAGTATATAAAATAAGTGAAGATTCTTAATGATATATATTTTTATATACCTCTAATACTGTAAATTCCAGTGGATATATTTTTTAATTATATAGAATATTTTAGTTTATTAATACTCCGCGAACATGTTGTTTTCTTCCTTTTAATATGATTAGAAAAAATTTTCTAACAAAATTAATTGATTACATGTTGGGTTTCTACCAATTAAAATGACCAGTCTTGTCTTGTGCTCATAGATTAACTATCCGTATTCAGAGAACGTCAATGGTACAAATTAGACTTAGCAGATGTTTTGTTATACAAAAAATTAATTTGTATTTGTTCATATCTACGTCACTAGAAATTATTTTGCAAGAATTATACGAATCATTACTAAGACGTATTATTAGGCTTATAAGATTTGTCAAAATATTGCTATGAGTTATATCTATGTTTAAATGATACTATGACGTATTAATCTGTTCAGACAATGTTGATGAAAATTAACTAATTAGTTTTTAACACAACTATTATAAGATAGACATATTATAATTTCATTAGATATTATAGATGTAATTATAGTCATAATTTAGATAACATCGAAGATAAAATATATAAATAGATAATTGCTCACATGTCATGATCTGAAAGTAGAATTCTAAAAAAAATCTTCTTTGTAAAAATAATGAAAACTATTTTTAGTCTTAGCGGAAAACAGAAATATACATAATTAAAGATTTTTTTAAACTTCAATTTCGGTATTAATATAATAATGGATCTCTGATAGTTTACTTTTTTCGAGAATAGAAAAGTGTCTTTATTGGAAAATAATTGTTCAAACACTCCTATTGATCATAAAAGTTTTTATAATAATGAACTAGTGACATCTATTTTACTCATTTCAATTTCATTTTTAAACGAAAGATTAATTTGTATATAATAATATTTCATAAAGAATTCTTTCTTTTTAAATAAAGAGTTGAATAGCAAATCTTGAAATTCATAACCGGAAGAATCATGTACAATCGTGTCTTGAGTATTTCCATGAGTAAAAGAAAATGGCTGCCAGTGTTCTATTACATTACATTCTTGTTGTTTATTTTTGCTTCTCTTGTCAATAGCAGCTGAAAATGTTTTTATTCTCTTAATTATTCCTAAAATTAATCTAAAATCAAAATGGTTGTTTTTAATGGGAAAATGTGTTTAAAACTCATCGAAGCTGATGATCTTCGTGCAACACAACATTCAACACGTTATTTTCCACAAAATCCTTCAACTGCTTATCTTAGTCCATATATATCAATTGATATTGATGATTTACCACTAGGACGTACTCATACAAAAGAACGAACAACTACTCCAACGTATAATGAAGAATTTTCAAGTGATGTTCATAATGGTCAACAATTACATTTTACTATATTTCATGATGCTGCATTACCACCTGATGAATATGTTGCTGATTGTACAGTTAAATTTGAAAATATTCATGATAAAAAAAGTGACATTTGGATTGATCTTGAACCAGTTGGAAGAATTCATATAGCTATTGAATTACAAGGACAATTTAGTAATTGTAAGATAGATAAAAGAATATTAATTTTTGAAAAATGAAATTTATTGTTTTTAGCTGTCAGTAATGAACGACATTTCAAACAAAATAAACGAGCTTTTGCACAACGACGTTTTGCTGTTGTTCGTCGTGTTTATGAAATAAATGGACATAAATTCATGGCAACATTCTTTCGTCAACCAACATTTTGCTCAATTTGTTCCGAATTTATCTGGTAAGATTTTCTTTTAATAAATATAAGAACAAAAAAAAAAATCTGGCATAAAAGAAATGAAAAAATGAGATTAATAACCACCTTTTTCCAGGGGTATCTTTCGTACACAAGGTTATCAATGTCAAGGTAAGAATGGATGTTGCTTTCCAATCACCCTTGTATTTCTAAAATGAATCACATGTGCTTGTTTTGTGAATTTCGTGTTTTTTTTTCTCTCTATTGTATAAAATGAGAATAGGCCCTTGTGATGCATGATAATCTTTAAAATAATAAATAATAAATATATTAATTTGTCATTTTAGTGTGTACATGTGTAATACATAAACGTTGTAAAGCATCAGTAGTTACAACATGTCCTGGAATTCGAACATGTTTCGAAGTATGATAAATATAAATCAATATGTTTATTTTCAAAATGATCTATATTTTTGATTTCAGTATCGTGAAAAACGTTTTAAAATCAATGTTCCACATCGATTTGTTGCACATACATATCGATTATTTACTTTTTGTGATCATTGTGGATCACTTTTATGGGGAGCTTGGAATCAAGGAATGCAATGTAGAGGTAAGTACATTATTTCTTTTTTGTATATTTATCTAATGAATGAATTCATATTTTAGAATGCAAATTAAATGTCCATAAACGTTGTACACGTAATGTTGCCAATGATTGTGGTTTAGATAAGAAAAAACTTGCATCAGTTCTTGCTGTTCTTAATATAAATACTGAACCACAGAAAATGGTAAATTTTATTTATTATATTTCATAAATTATTCATTTTTATTTTTTTTCTATTAAATATTTATTTAGACTAATTCGCCAAGTGAACCAGATAGTATGTATTAAGTTTCGAAAAAAAAAATAGAAATGAAATAAGAGATTTTATTTCTTTTTTTAGCATCATCTGCAAGTCAAGCTTCTTCAACAACAGCAAAAAATACAACACCACCTCCAACATCATTCGAAGATATTTCAACAAAACGAAAACATTATAATACAATTAATGATTTTAATTTTATGAAAATGTTAGGAAAAGGATCGTTTGGAAAAGTATAGAATATCTGATTTTTATTTTTATAAAAAAACAATGAATTTCTTTTTCATTAAAGGTTATGTTAGGCGAACATAAAGTAACTGGTGAAGTCTTTGCTATAAAAGTGCTCAATAAAGATGCGATTATTCAAAATGATGATGTTGAATGTACAATGACTGAACGACGAATATTAGCTTTATCAACTCGACATCCATTTTTAACAGGACTTTATTGTAGTTTTCAAACAAAGGTTTTTTTAATTTAATTTTATAATATTATTGTTGAAATTAAACTATTTTTAGGAACGTTTATTTCTAATAATGGAATATGTTAATGGTGGAGATTTAATGTTTCAAATTCAACGTTCACGAAAATTTGATGAAGTACGTGCACGTTTCTATGCATCGGAAGTAACATTAGCATTAATGTTTTTACATCGACATGGTGTTATTTATCGGTATAGTCAAACTCTTCTTTTTCATATATATATAAGAATATTGTCTTTTTTCTTCAACAGTGATCTCAAACTCGACAACATTCTACTTGACGCCGAAGGACATTGTAAAATTGCTGAGTAAGTGTTTGTTTTTTTTTAATTAATATTTAATGATTAGATACATAAAGTGTTTAGTTTTTTCCATCGCATATATAAATCGATAAGATATAAACATTTGTTGATTTGAGATTTAGTATATCTTGTAAAGGACAATTTCATTTTTAATTATCAAGAAAAAACAAAGGTCGAGTTTATTCGAGTTGAAAAATGACTTATAAATCGACATAATTATTAATAATACAAGTATTTTTCTTTCTTCATTCGATTCATTAACTATTTGATAAGAACATCTCGATCTTAAGATTAATATAGCAAAATAATAATTTCTATTTTAGTTTTGGTATGTGTAAAGAAGGTATATTTGATGGAAAATTAACATCAACATTTTGTGGTACACCTGGTATGATTATATTCTTTGTATTTCTTATTATAATCTTTCATTTTTCTATTAGATTATATTGCACCTGAAATTCTTCAAGAATTAGATTATTCATTTTCTGTTGATTGGTGGGCATTAGGTGTATTGATGTATGAAATGATGGCTGGACAACCGCCATTTGAAGCAGATGATGAAGATAGTTTATTTGAATCGATTCTACGCGATGAAGTACTCTATCCTGTTTGGTTATCGAAAGAAGCTGTTCATATTCTTAAATCAGTAAATAATATTTTGTTTTGTTTAGATTGTTTAATAATATTTTATATTTTAGTTTATGACTAAAAATCCAGCTAAACGTCTTGGTTGTGTTGCTGCACAAGGTGGTGAAGAAGCAATAAAACGTCATGCATTTTTTGCTGGAAAAATTGATTGGGAAGCATTAGATCAACGACAAATAAAACCACCTTTTAAACCAAAAGTGGTACGTTGAAAAATCTTTCATATTCTTATGTTTGTCGTCTATAAAATTCATTTATTCTAGGTTAATCCACGAGATACAAGTAATTTTGATAAAGATTTTACAAATATGCCTGTTGCATTTACACCAATGGAAGCTGAGATTGTTAAAGCAATAAATCAAGATGAATTTAAAGATTTTTCATATCAAAATGCTGATTGGCGTTGTTTAGAACGTGGTGAAGTACCAAAAGATGATGCGAATGATGGTCGACGTGCATTACGTGATGATTTATCTGTTAATTTAAAACAACCATTACCAATGACACCTATATTATCACATCAATCATCAACATATGAGGCAAATTCATCGACGATGACTGTTGTAAATACAGATCATACACCAATTCCACATTTAGAAACTAAACGTAATCCAACTTCAACATCATCTCAATCAAATTCCATATCATCATCATCACAATCATCGAATTCATCATCAACGACAAATGCTCAACAAAAATCAATGATATTCAATAAATCATCAAGTATAAATCGTTCAACAACAGATCAAACCGATATGTAACAAAAAAGAAATCTTACAAATCGCATAATTTTTGTTTGTTGTCATTTACACACACATACTCTCTATGAAATTCTAGTCATTTAATTGTTGTTTTTGTCTTTGTTCGTACAGATTTTATTTGTTTTCTTTCTTTCGAGTTAATTTTATTCTATTACCTATCTTCATTTTCTAGTCATTTTGCTGCTGCTGCCTTTTCTTTTCTCGGTTTTTATTTTCTTCGTGCAATTTTTGCTTGTTTGGCATATTTTGTTTTTTCACTAGATGTAGTAGAAAATACATGCACAAGTTTATTTTTATTTTGTTCTTTCTCTTGTTGTATTGTGTATATACCCATAATAATGTACACAAAATTTATAAGAATGTGTATATTGAATGGTTGTCTATTTATTTATTGTCGTCTATCTTTTATATTTTATAATACTTTATTTCTTTTGTTCTCTAAATAATTGAATAAATATATTTATCTGGAAAAGTGAATTAAAAATAAGTTTCAGTATTCGATTGAAGATAGACATGTGTTGATGTGATTAAACTTTAAAGTATTTTCTAGACTATTTAGAAGTTTTAATAATTGATGAGGAAATCACGCATTGACTGTCATTTTTCCTAGAGCTTTATATCAATATATATCTTACAGAACTATTTTGCTGTTATAAACACAGTTTTGATAATACTCGGATATATTTCAAAAAGAAAAAAATGTTTTACATTAATAACAATAATAATATATGAAAAAAGAATAAATAAAAATGAACGAACAATATTTATTTTAATAGAAAAATATTGAGCAGGAAATGTGTATCACATTAATTGAGAATGGACACAGATAAATCTGAATACTTTCTTTTACAAACTCTCATCATCATGTGAGGGTGGTGGTACATCATCAGATCCTGCTCCGCCTTGTCCATATAATTTTGTAATAATTGGTGTAACAATTTCTTCTAGTTGTTTCTTATGTTCTTTTAATTCATCGATTTCAGCAGCTTGATTTGATTCTAACCATTGAATTTGTTCTTCAACAGCTTTTTCAATTGTTTCTTTATCATCATTTGATAATTTTCCACCAAGTTTTTCTTTATCATTCAATTGAGTTTTTAATGAATAAGCATATCTTTAAAAAAGCAAAAATTATCATTCCGAGATAAATAAATAGAAGAATAACTTACGATTCAAGTTCATTTTTAGCATCAACACGTTCTTTTACTTTCTTATCTTCATCAGCAAATTGGTCTGAATCTTTTATCATACGTTCAATTTCTTCTGGTGATAATCGATTTGTATCTGCATTGATTACAATATTCTGTTTATTTCCTGTTCCTTTATCTTCAGCAGTAACTTTAAGAATACCATTAACATCAATTTCAAATGTAACTTCAATTTGTGGAACACCTCGTGGTGCTGGTGGTATTCCAGTTAAATCAAATTTTCCTAATGCATGATTATCTTTTGTCATTGGTCGTTCACCTTCGAATATGTTAATAGTAACTGCTGGTTGATTATCAACAGCTGTTGAAAAAACTTGACTTTTTCTTGTTGGAATAACTGAATTACGTGGAATTATTTTTGCCATTACACCACCAGCAGTTTCAATACCCATTGTTAATGGATTAATATCTATTATAGTTACAGAAGTTTGTTCTTCGCCTGATAAAACTCCAGCTTGTACAGCAGCACCATATGCAACAGCTTCATCAGGATTAATACCACGTGATGGTTCTTTACCATCAAAAAATTCCTTTACTAATTGTTGAACTTTAGGAATACGTGTTGAACCACCAACAAGAACAACTTCAGCAATATCATTCTTTGTCATACCAGCATCTTTTAAAGCTTGTTGTACTGGTTTCATTGTTGAACGAAATAAATCCATATTTAATTCTTCAAATTTTGCACGTGTTAATATTTCACTAAAATCTTCATTATTAAAGAATGATTCAATTTCAATTTTTGTTTGATGTTGAGATGATAATACTCGTTTAGCTTTTTCAACTTCACGTCGTAATTTTTGTACAGCACGCTTATCTTGTCGTACATCTTTACCAGTTTTCTTTTTAAATAATTTTATAAAATAATCGATAACACGTTGATCAAAATCTTCACCACCTAAATGTGTATCACCATTTGTTGCAATAACTTCAAATACACCATTATCAATTGTTAATAATGATACATCAAATGTACCACCACCCAAATCAAAAACAAGAATATTTTTTTCACCTTCCTTCTTATCTAAACCATAAGCAATTGCTGCAGCTGTTGGTTCATTGATAATACGGATTATATTCAAACCCGAAATTGTTCCAGCATCTTTTGTTGCTTGACGTTGTGCATCATTAAAATAAGCAGGAACAGTAACAACAGCATGTGTGACTTTCTTTCCAAGATAAGCTTCCTAGAACAATAATAACAAAAATGAAAATTCAATTAATAAGAAAGATATTAAATAAACTTACAGCTATTTCACGCATTTTACCAAGAACCATAGCTGAGATTTCTTCTGGTGTAAAATATTTTTCCTCTTTACCAGTATTAATTTGAATAATTGGTTTAGAATTTTTTTCTATAACTTTAAATGGAAAATGTTTTATATCTTGTTGTACATTTGAATCACTAAATGTTCGACCAATAAGTCGCTTAGCATCAAATACAGTATTTTCTGGATTCGATGTCAATTGATTTTTTGCTGCATCACCAATTAATCGTTCACCTTCAGATGTAAATGCAACATAAGATGGTGTTATTCGATTGCCTTGATCATTAGCAATAATTTCTACACGTCCATCTTTAAATATTCCAACACATGAATATGTTGTACCAAGATCAATACCAATTACAGTACCAATATCTTTCTTATCTTCAGCGGCAAAAGTAAATGTAATAGCAATAGTAGCGATGAGAAGAAGAGCTATGAATATCTTCATGTTTAACGAATGTATAATTTAATTTTGAATAAGAAAAGCTATGGAAATCTGACATATTTATGTGTGGAAATAAAATCAATTGCTGAAGCAATCTGTACGTGTTTCTTCTTTAGGATGATGATTGACTATGCTGCATGCACCGGATTGGTCCAGCTATCTATGATAAGTGACATCATCATTCAATGTGGATAACCTATCAAATGATAATGAAAACAGTGACACCTATATGACACTAAGTTGAAGTAGAAAAAAAGTAGAATCATCTAGAGAAGATTTAATGGATTTTATATTTATTTTATTATGAAAATTCTAATAATTAAGTAATTATGTCGAAGTGTCATCAATAATTTCCATTTATTCTTGATTTTAAAACATTTTTACGTTTGGGATTTGCACTATGATAAGATTAACACCATGTGTAAATAACAGTAAGCTTTAAATGAAAGGTTACTATGATGAATACTTTGAATTCATCAAAAGTATGATATTGATATTATATAGATTTTTATCTAGATTGATCAATAGATATATAGAATTTGTACAAATATATAGGTCAAAATGCGAAGATTGATAACGTAAAATAATCGATTTAAGCTGTGTGTTATTTATAAAAACTACGATTACCATGGTTCTTCGTATATACAAAAAATATATAGATGATAAACTTTTTTATCATTCTCTTTTGATAATCATGCAGAAGATGAAATAAATGATAGATTTCTTTGGATTGAATAATATCATCAATTATATATCAATAAAATACCTAGAAGCTTTTTTCTCGTATATTACTTATTTTTATTTGAGAGTAGGTTATGCAAATTATAAACATTTGTTATATATTTTATTAATGAAAACATCACGATAATGATGTATTTTTTATATTAGAAATGAATAAAAAATTCTTCTTGATATGTTTTACATATGTTTCTAACAGTAATTAATTGATTTCTTTATATTTTTGTACTATAAGAATAAAACGATATTTACATCCAACTTCCCACATGTACTTCTTTCTTTACTACAGAAATATACATCATCTTCGTTAATATAAATAATATATTATTTTACAAAACAATAATACAATAAACTACTCATTAGTTTGCACATCTTTTGTGTTAATAAATAGAAGAGGAAAATAATTTTTATGACTCTTCTATGTATATTGCAGTCATCCAGAAAAAGAGCTAATTACATGGTAATAAAATTGTCAAACACAATAAACTAGTAATGAATGTATGCAAAAACGATTTAAAAGAAGATATATCAATCAGTTGATAACAGAATTTGATTTCATGTGCATTCTGACAACTCAAAATGATATTAATTATTCTCTATTTCTATTTATTAATTGCTCTAACGATTATAAATGAGTAAAGAAATATGAATCTTGTGAAAACTAATCCAGGATAAATGATAAACATATTAAAAAAACCAAAGAGAAAATAAATATTCAATTAATATTCTTATCAAAAAATCCGACATAAATGTCGAGATATATTCTTATCATTTTGAAAGCAACGTGTAGGAATGTACAAAACAATACTTTTTAATATAGTTGTACTCTCTATCGTATTTTTTTATTATAAATGAATGTAAAGACTCATAGAGATTAATTTTAATATATCTTTTAATAATTTTGATTTCTTATCATGTTTTCAATAGGTACAATAATTTTTGTCAATGATCGAATTTCTTATGTAAGACGACACATATTGATTTCAAGGTTACTAATAGTTGAATACAAAAATATGTGCTCTCGCCTCTCTCTCTTTTTTTATATGTGTCAAATGAAATAATCAGAAGTAAAGAAAAGAGACAGACCGAAAAGAAAATATAAAGCCTCTGTTTCATCCTAACTGACATACAGTGTATGCATTTTTTGTGACCCTGCTGCTATAGAATGGTTGCATACATTCTTTTTTTTTTTACTCTGGAAAGACAAGAATGGCATAAGGATAGAGAGAGAAAAAGAGCATGTAATACTCAGTAATGTTATCTTGAGAGAAAGAAAAAATATTTCCTCTCTCAATCTGTGTCTATATACGATGAATAGAAGAAAGTAGAAAAAAGGAAAGAACATAATACCATGTTACTTCTTCTTCTTTGTTTATGACATTAAATAATAAGGGAGTGTGCGTGTTTATGCTTATATCGAGATAACGATATATATATATATAAAAGTATTTTTTTTTAGAAATTTTTAGTTTAATATCTAAAAATGGCCACTGAAAAGTCGGTAGTACTTGTTGATGGTCAAGCCCCACCTCGTTTTATTCCATCAACACGCTTCACACTAGCATTACTCGTCTTTTTTGCTTTTATCGTTCAATATTCTCAGCGTGTAAATTTACCAATTGCTATTGTATGTATGGTTAATCGTACGAAACCAATTGACAATAGTCGTATATTATTTTCAAATCATACAGTAACACCAACATATCCTTCATCAAGGTATATAATTGATCAATCAACAACAATAAAACCTATCAGTGCACCTATAGAAAAAGGTGGTATGTTTGAAGAGAAACAATTTTTTTGGACTGAGTTACACCAACAAATTCTTCTCGGTGGATATTGGGCTGGCTATATCTTTACTCAGGTACCAGGTGAATATAAAAATATTGTTTTTTTCTTTACATAATAATCTATATGTAAATTTTGATAATTAGGTGGATGGTTAGCAACAAGTATAGGTGCTAAATGGGTTTATGCAGGTTCTCTTGGTACTAGTTCATTAGCTACATTAGCTTTAACAATTATGTATATGATGTCAAGTACACAATTTATTCTTATACTTATTCTTCGATTTATAATTGGTCTTGCTCATGGTGTACTTTTTCCAGCAACAGTTGCTCTTTGGTCCCTATGGGCTGTTCCACAAGAAAGAAGTACACTGGCATCAATTGGTTTTTGTGGTACACATCTTGGAACATCGTTAACAATGTTGACTGGTGGAATATTCTGTCGATATTTAGCTTCAGGCTGGATGTATCTATTTTTTGTCTCGAGTCTTCTTGGTTTTATATGGTTTATATTGTGGGTGACATTGACAGCCGATGCACCAAATCATCATAAAACAATTAGTGCTCATGAACGAGAATATATATGTAAGTTAACTGGTAGTACTGGAAAGAAACGTACCATGTCATTGGCATCAATACCATGGAAAAATATTGTAACATCAAAACCATTAAATGCTTTAATGATAACACATATTGCAAATTTATTTGGTTTATTTTTCTTTTTAACAAATTTTGGTAAAATTCTCAATCAACTTTTACGTATCTCACCACAAAATACTGGTTATATATTAGCATTTGGATTTTTTCTTACACTATTAAGTAGTTTATCATCAGGTAATTAAAAACAACTATATAAAAATTGTTTGCCTGTTATATAAAAAACAAAACAATTCTTTTTATAGGTATTGCAACTGATCATCTTGTTCGTGCAAATATATTGACATTAACAAGTGCAAGAAAATTATTTAATTCATTAACATCATTTCTACCTGCTTTATGCATGGTATCACTTTGTTTTTGCGATCAATCTCAACAGGTACTAGGTGTTATTACTGTTCTTATTTTTCTTGCAAGTTCTGGTAAGATTTCATATATATATTAATTTGATTTATTGAAATATATGTTTATTTATCTTACAGGTCTTGGTTATGGTAGTGGTTATATCGTAAATTTTGCAGATATTGTTCCTGCTTATTCCGGTGTTATATTTGGTATTGCTAATACATTTGCATCTTTAGCTGGTTTAATTGGAAATATAGTTGCTGGAATGATTGTTAAAGAACCAATATTAGAACAATGGAGAAAATTGTATATTATGTTTGGTATTGTTTATGTTATTGGTGGTGTAGTTTATCTTCTATTTGGTTCAGCTATACCAAGAAAATGGGCGAAATTTCAAGCAGTTGATAATAGTGCTAAACAAGAAGAAAAATTACATGATGAAGAAGCAATGCCTATGAATGAAAAAATTTGAATGAACGATCATTTTTCTTCTTTTTTCCTATCCTTTTAGTTTAAAATCTTCCGTCCAACGTTATTATTTTAAATATCCTTTAGATTTAGTTAATTAATCTCGAGAATGATCCAACTTTGTTTTTTATCTCTATTTAGTGATAAAAAAAAATATTTTTTACATGAATTTATCACATGGTGTAATGTCAAGAATGATTTCTTTTTCCTCGTTTTGTTTTTGTTTAATTATTGTTTAACATTACCAATAAAATTGATGCAAGAAAATAAAACCTCGACCTTTTTGATATACTACTCTTATAGTGTTTTACTATAGAGATAAGGTATATTTGCACTGATAATCGAGTCTTTTGTTTTTGAATATAGGTTTCATACTCGTAAATATGTTTTTTTTAAGGATCAACAAAGACTGTTATATCTTATGAGAAATATTGACATATGGCTGATAAAAAGTAATTTTAACGTAAATATTTGCTCTGAATAGATGAAAACAAATCCGTTTAATTTATTATTTTATAAAAAAATATTTGTTATGATTTCAAAAACTTTATTATTAAAAGACGTAAATATTAAATTTTTTTGTAATTATATCTTTTAAACTATTTTGTCAATTTCAAAAAGTATGTCGGATGAAACTGGATATAACTTGATTTTTATTATATAGAAGTATTAGATGATTGTGCAAATATTTTAAATCGTACGATGAAAATTTTTTTGCCTACATTTCGAATTCGTGTGAAAATGTCGTTTATTTTAGTTATGTATTATTGATTCGATTTCTAGCAGTTTTTCATAATTCTACATAATTTAGTATGACATGTGACAAATAGATTCGTCACAACTTAATGGTTTAATCGTTTAAATTAAAGAGACAATACGCAATGATGATGTCGATAACAATTTGTGAGGCATGATTGCAAAAAGATGAATGTAAACGATTTGTACGATCTCTATCTTTTCTTACTATTTATTATTTATCATTTTCATCTGAAATAATCCTCTTATGACAATCTCTTCGAGATAAATTAAATCAAAATTGCTGAAAAGAGTATACCGAATTAATATAATCATATCTAAAACTTCCGGCATCGTCAATAGAGTAATTTTTAAAATTACTAATGGTATTTATAGATATTTGTTATAAATTGCAAGTATGCGTTTGTTAGTATATTGATTTGAATAAAATAAAAAATGTCTTTCATTCTAGTGTAATACTATTTACTTCGGGATGTATTTTCAGCTGCTGCCTTGACAGACATGATTTTATACACATCATATTGTCTCGCTCATTCCAAATTTAACATATATATGATAGACTCAAATATCAATCGAAACTAAAACTTACTATTTATGCACATGCACTTATTATTTTATATTTCCATTTAAAACTTCAGATAGAGATTAATTGTCTTGAGTGTATGATGTAGAAAAAAAGGAAACATCGTTTACTATCATTATATATTATATAACCAAGTGTTTAGTAGCAAGAAATGATCAAAGTATAATGTAATAATTCTTTTATATTCGCTCAGTAGAGAAGATGTTCAAGTACCACTACATTCTAATTTAATATATTCAAAACATAAATTAGATTTTTCCTTTTATCTAACGACGCAATATATAGCGATGATTAAAGATATTTTTTTTCTTGAAATCTTGCTTATAATAACCATATCTGTAGTTACTCGACAGTTAGATATGCGGTTTATTTTGATTGTAGAAATACATATTCAACAAAGTAATCATTTATCTTGAGAATATTTGCGTGAGAATGTGGGTGTATAGTAGTATCACATGTGTTTGTCACCATTACTCTCTTTCTTTCTTCCCATAAGATAATTAATAGTATCATAAACTCATATGCAGCTGACAAAATTTTTCAATAACAACTACTCATTGAAAAGATAATTATCGAAAAACAAAAACAACTCATGTTTTCATACTAGTCAATATTACAAAGTCGTTTTTATTAGGACAATATTGATGAGATAGTCAATTGCTGTATTAAACGTAAACAAAGAACGATGTTGATCACTTCAGAAAGATCAGAGACTCTCCAAAAACAACAAATCTAACAATAGTTTCTTTAAATTTTCTTTTATTAAAAGACAAGTAATTTCAACTTGAAAAAAAACTTACATTAAGTTTTCTTATAAAATTCACTGTCAACACATGTATCATCAAGATTTGTTATTGTCTTAACTGTTTCTAATGATGTTCGTCTTTGCCATAATCGATGTATAACTTCAAATTCTTGTATATGTCGTCGTTTATTATAAAAACAACAACATAATTTTCTATAAAACCATATTTGATAAAATTCTCGCACATAAAAATCATTTGGTAGAACATAAATCATATATGTTAATATTTGTGGTGCATAGAGAAGAAAAATAAATCCAATATGTAAACGAATTATAAATGTTGATGAATTAAATAAATTAAAATCAATTATATAACGATATAAACCATGTAAAAATATACATAATATAATAAATAATGATGGTACCATATAATTTTGATAAGCAAATATTCGTTGAATGAAATTTTCTTTTACTTTTATTGATAGAATACGTATTATACATATTAAATGAATAAAACATGGAAAGATTATACAAAAGAAAAACATAATGTTTGACCATGGTTTATATGTATATTTATCATATACACAATAGAGATTATTCGATTGATCAGTTATTAAATAACGTGAAAATATTTTATCAAGATTTGATATTGAAACAATAAGAAATATGAATAATGAAATAAATAAAGATGATTTACGTGAACGAAATTTATCAAAATTGAAACATTTTATTAAAATATTTTCAATTGCAATAGCAGCACTTATTAAAGTACTTGTATAAACCATATTAAGAGATAAATATGGATATCCATGACATGCCCATAAACGAAATATATATTTATCATAATAAATAGCAGTTAGAACGTTTGTTAAAATTAAAATCATTAACAATAAACTACATATAGAATAGATAATTAGATAAATTCCAAATGTTGTATATCGAATACGATCACGAATAAATGTCATCAATGCAAAGATATTATTTAATAATCCAATTAGAGCCAAAATAATGAAAATCCATATATACATATGCCATAATGATGGAAGATCATGATGTGTTGCTCCAATTATAGGAAGAATTAATGCATTGGAATGAATAGTATACTGATCAGTAAAATAGTTTTCTTTAGGATAAATACAAAAACCGAATAGACATCGATTTCCATTTTGACAGTGACTACTGTTTAAACACAACATTATTGATTAAAGTAAAAAGTATAATTACAATCTTTTATATATATATATACATTCAAATGACGTAAATCGATTTTCTAAATGTATTATTTGCATATTTTCGAGATAGGACATAATATATTAATTTTCGATTTCCATTGCATTTTCAAGTACAATCTAATCAATCATGTAATATACGACTTCCAACTATAATTACCAATAAATGTATTTATTTAAGAATATTATAGACTATTTTTGTCATATGCGTCTATGTATTTCTTTTTAAGTATTTTCGACTCTTTAATATCAGGTGAGTCAGAAAGATTTTCGTCGCAAATGTATAATCAGCCGAATATATACATATATTTATGAGGAGGTTTGAAGTGAAATCATATGAAAATATTTTTTAATAATCTTGATTTATTCACAAAAGTATTCTTAAATTAATTTATTGTTTTCGAAAATAAAACAGTTTATTAGGACATATCATATTTGTTATATAAGTAAGCGATGTTTATTAAACTAGATTTTCAAAGTAATTTACGTAGACAATATTTTGCTGTATTAGAATATTTGTACTATTAACATTTATTGTATAAACATCTGTTGATATATGTATGAGATTATCTTTATCAAAGATTCAAATACCAATGGCATGATAATGATTCTTAGTTTTTTGGAAAGAATTTATATTGATTTAAATAAATATTTGTAGAAAATTGAAATAATATTAGTTATTTATACATTGAACATTATTAATGAAAGCATACTTCCATCTGATGATTAGCTGGTTGTTGCTTAATTTTATTTTAATAATCAAATACGAGATGCCAGCAATGATACATTTTTATTTAAGTAGAAAAGTACAACGCTGTATTTCTTCTGATAAATCATATATTTTATTTCAAGAATATCGTCACTAATGATATATATTTACAATGGAATGCAGTAAAACTGTTGTTAGCTGTACTCATTCTTTGTGTCAATCATGCGATGTAAACATTGTGTTTAAAGTACTTTTTATGTTTCAATTAACTTATTTATTCCAGGTTTAATAATTAAAATCTTATTTCACGTATAAAAGTAGTTGTTAAATCATGTACTGAGTTTTATTTTTTTATACTGTTATTATAAGATGGAAAGTGAAGACATTTTCTTTATTATCATTGGTATACTTTATATTCTTATTCTTCTAATCACAGCTTTATTCTCATCAATTATTGTATTTATTATCATTTCTCATTGGTATTCGCATTGTCGATCAATCTCAAATCTTCTCATTTGTAATTCTTGTACTGCTTTTCTTATTTTTGTTCTTAGTATTGCTATTCAAATACCAGATGTATTTCAAACTAATCAAAAAGAAAACAATTATTCAAACACAACATTTTGTAGATTTCGTGCTTGTTTCTATTTATTTTGTTGTATTGTAAAAATATTGTCTTATCTTATTCAAGCAATTTCACGCTATTTTATAATTGTTCTTCATAGACATCGGCAACTTTTAACATATCGTACCAACATCATAATGATCATATTTAATTGGACATTTGGTATAATTATAGCATGTAGTTTCTTGATCTCACCAATAGGTTTTCAATATGAATCTGAATCTCATTTATGTGTTTTAACTAGTAAAGTATTTCATACATCATTTACATTAATGGCAGTTGCATTTGTAATTCCTGTAAATATTATTATTGTTCTTTATGCTCTTATTTTGAAACATACGACACATACAAATCGTGTTCAACCAAGTACTATTACAAGAAAAAATAATAAACGAAATCTGAAAGTATATCGAAATATTCTAATGCTATTGGGTATTGTACTAATTGGTGGAACACCATATCTTTTATGTATTCTAATTAATAAATTCAGTGCAACTCCATGGCCATTATATTCAATATCCATATTATTTATCATGCTATCAGCTGTTGTTGAATCGATCACAATATTTCTTACTAACAAAGATGTCAAAAGAATCGTTTATGCTAAGATTAATGTTTTTCAAACAGAAGAAATGCAAACATTCACGATAACTCAGATACCAACGATAACAATAAATGCATAGTTATCAAGACTAGATTTTCTTATTTATCTACAATAATGATTGTTGTATTTGTTTTGTAAAAATAAAATTCGTTGCTTTTTTCATTGTATGAACATTATTGTAAAAGATTGCATGACACTTTTTTAAATGAAAGATTTGAAGAAATGGTGCAAAAATCAAAACGGAAGAAATTGAGATTTTATGAAAGTGTACTTCAAATTCCATTTAAAATTAATAGAATATTGTTTTCTCAAATAAATATCATGAAACTTCAATATAAATATTATATATTAAAGATGCCTTGTTCAATTCTATTATATTCAAACAATTAAAAAGTATGATCAGAAGTATTTTTTCTGATACCTGCATAAGCATAGTAAAGAAAAAGTATAATTGTAGTTTAAGAATAAAATTTGCATATAATCATGAACAATATGTGAGAATATTATTTCACCCATTGAAATTCATATTTATACTATAAATGATATTGTAATATATAATCTTAATATCAATGTTGTTTAATGAAACATAAGTGATTGAATCAATTCATCAGCTATTTCATTCACATCGCCTTCGAGTTTAATAACGCTTTGAATCTTTTTGATACATTCGTTTGTAGCATTCGATACATCGAAGAATTTTATAAAGTTCATTGAATTTTTTTTTGTAAGGAATAATTCTATGGCTGATGAATTAGTTTACTTCCTAATAATTATAATCCCGTTTTGAAAGGAATAAAAGTAGGTAGTAAAACGAAATGAAAGAAAGTGGATATGACATCGAACATATTTTTGAGGTAATTAGTGCTTTATGTTACACGTAAAAAATGAATAAAGATAAAAATGACATATTAACACGTGATAGTAGAGGCTTTTTTTTGATATTGACGAGGGAAAAGATTAGCAAAATCAATGGGTATTGATATGAAATATAGAAACAAAAAGCTAAAACGGAAGTGATTTTGATAAAAATTTGTTTTTTTGTTAATATCGCGTTTCTTTGATCGTTTTAAACTACTGCATATATATCAATCACTATCCTTAACTGAGTCATATAAAATGTAATTAAACGCATTGTTTGCGAATATTTATGACGGATATTTCTCCATTGCGTATATAAAATAATTTCAACAATCAATTCGAAGGTTAGTGTTTCTCTGAATAAATAAATTTATTTTGATTAAGATTAATCTCGAATACAATGTACTTATCTCGAATTTATGAGAGAGTACATGTCATAAAAAAAAATTTTTTCTTTTAGTAAATAACAATATTATATCATTAACGATGTGCATATACAACGTGACATCAATTTAATAAGAAAAAATATCGATACTAAGCATGATAGTAGACGACTATGCACAATAGGTATAACACACCGACTAGAACATGGTTGACACGGGTCGATGAACAACATGCTTACACGCATCGTTAAAATGTATTTCATAGTATGAAATGAAAAGCGAAGGCGTTATTGTATGATTAATATGACTGAATTCATGTCATCAACAAGATATCATTAATATTTATCAAACAAATATAAACACTACTGAGATTTCTTTAATTTAAATCTATTTTTAATGTTGATATGAATAATTACAAGTTAAGATGTTATCATAGTATATTATTTATCCGTTGATTATAAAGACAATATGATAATGTTTGAATAGATTTTAAATTTGAAGTAATGTATGTTTAGTATATTAACAATCGTTATTGACACATTAAAATTGATGAAGATAAAATCTTTGTTTTTAATTCGTATTCTTTTATTTTAGAATTTTATTTGAATAATCTAACAATAAGTCCGGATATGAAGGTAAATATTTAATATAATCAATATTTTATTCTATAAATTTTAAAAAATGATATAGGTAAATAGTCTAACATATAAATTCACATCTCTACCTTCACAACTACCAATCCTGTATTTAAAACTACTTTTACGATTATTCTTACGCCGTTTATTTCCTGCAATATTATTGATTGTCAGTCTTTATTTTTTCACTGCTAATACCAAAAAAAAAGAGTATGAACAATCTACTCAACCTACGATTACAACTACCGTCTGTCTTAGCGATTGTGATTTTATACCATCAACTGATGAATTTATTCGTACATATACTCCGAAGACATTACTTGGAACTAAAAATGATACAACTCGTGTTGAACCAACAGTTGAACGAATTCGTCTTCTTTTGGAAAAAATTCGATCAAAAGAAGACAAGTATCAATCAATTTTAAATACATTCGATGTTTTCAATATGACAAATCCTAACATATCATTTAAACCATATTTATTTGGAAGTAATGTAGATGAAATAAAAATATTATACAATCGTTATATTAAATTAATGAATGATAATAAAACGATTCAAATTGATGAAACATTTATTGATTATTTAAGAAAAATTTCAAGTTATTTATCTGATAGTTTAAAAAATCAAAGAACCTATACAGTAAATGAAAAACAAATTTTTGTAGTTTTTACTCTTTTTCTTTTTCAATTAGTTTCCTGTTAAATGTTCTCGTAAACCAGTTTTTGTTCTGGCTTCCGATGGAGGTTTTTTTGATGGTCTTCAAGGTACTATTCATACATTAGATACCTTTTGGCCTAATTATACAATTATCGTTTATGATATGGGCTATTCACCTGCACAAAAAAACTTAGTATGAAATTTTATTAATTTAGTTTCTACTAAATGATTTTTTGTTATTTTTAATTAGCTTAAAACAAAATGTAAACAATGTACAGTTATCCAGTTTCCATTTGCTTCTATTGAAAAAGTTGCACCACATATTCGTACTTTAGGCAATTATGCATTTAAACCATTTGTTGTTCAGGTTAGGATTTATAAATATTTTATTGTAATTATTTACTGATAAAAGTCATCGAGATAGACTCATGGTATATCGAAGTTCGACAATAGAATTCTAGCATTAGATAACATCCATTAGAAGCTTTATCAGTGTTTTATTTAGGTTTTTCATTTCGAGAGTGCGACAGCTATTTCCGGGAGGGCGAAAACCTAATTTCTGGGGGGCAAATACATAGTATAAGCACAAAAATTGCAATTTTTGGGAGGGCAAAATCGTTCTCCGAGAGGGCGCCGCCATCACTGCCCTTCCTCTAGATAAATCACTGAGCTTTATCTAATGATTATATAAAAGTTAGATGAAGATATCAGTGACTTATACATCGTTATATATCACAGAAGAAAAAACAGATGTTTCAATCGTAAAATATGATGAGATTTTAGAAGTATCAAAGTTTCTTGTTTTTTATCCATGTTATTAATCATTACTAACAAAAAACATGTTGATAAATTTCTCATTTTCAATCCAGATAATCTTTAATATAATTCGAAAAAATTTTTACTAGCAACTTGTTTTTTGTTAGAAAAACGAAGATTCTGAAATATTAGAATAGTTTTTTTTTGAAATTTCAATCATAATCAATCGTTTCATAAACTCATTTTTCCTATGTGGATATATGATATTAATTAATGAAAATTTACATAGGATGCTCTTCGTCGTTATGGGCAAATTATTTATGGTGATTCATCAGCTCGTTTTAATCATAATTCATTCGATCCAGTTTTACACGACAATTACATTCGTGGTTTTGCTGCTCGTGAATTACCTGGTCATTTTTTACCTTGTTATACTCGAAGTGGTGCTTTTAGTTATTTTAATCAATCATATACTAACTATGATGATATATATATGGCTGAAGCAAATTTCTTAGTTGTTACAGATACATTTTTAACACGTCTAATTATGAAAGCATGGTTAATGTGTGCACTTGATACAGATTGTTTAATTACTGAGAGTACAAAAGCACTGTGTAGTAGAACATCTGCTGGAGTACATCGATATGATCAAAGTGCAATGGTAATTATTTTAACACATTTCTTCTTTCAAGGTAATAGATTAGGATGGTTAAATGGAAATGCTAACGATCCAACACCGTATGATATGTTTACAAGTGTCATAAAACATTTAGGTGATATTAAACGTGGTGAACGTGAGCCAAATTATCTACCAGAAAAAAAGATACCATAGAAATTTACATTAATTATTTTCTATTCTCGCAACCTATAATAACAAAATAATGATTTGTTTTTTTGATTATATAGATATTTTATTTATTTTTTATCATTTTTGTTATTGTATATAAAATCTTAATTAATATTCTTTTGATTGTATAATGAACAAATTGTTTTATCAAACGCAATTCTCGAATCGCAGTGATCAATATTAAAATTAAGTAGTAAATGTATAACTTGAAAATATTTCTTCTCAAATGTTTTGTATAGTAGTACAGAACAATTGTAATATAATTGTGAAAGTGCTTTGATTACAAAGACTAGACAATATTTTGCAGCACAATCGAATGAAAACAAAACATTTCACACTCTCCAGACAGGAAGAATGCCCAATTCAAATGATAATAACTATGATTATCGATGAGAGTAAAGCTGTGATAATAATGAACATAATACAAATCATTTTCAGAGAAATAACTGTCTCATATCTGTGACAACTTTTGATAAGGGAGATACTATTTAAGGGTTAGGCTATGTATTTTTATTTCAAGTATCAAGAATCACAGCTAAATTGTATTTTCATCATTCTTTATATACTGTGAAAGATGGAAGTTCACATACTAGAAAAGCATAGAATCAAAAGACAAGTTTAATAGAGAACAACGATTCTTGTCATGCCATAAAAGTTAGGTAGATGTACGACATAAGAACAAACTGAAAATGTGATTTCTAAATGCAAAACAAGGCATTGCGGTTATTTCTCTCAAGATTAGGTAACGGATTGTTACAACATCTTGCTGCAATCTACTCTGACTATTTTTTCCTAAACATTATCGAATAGATCAAATGTTGTTAATCAAACAGTATGAAACATAACAATTTGAAGATAAGTTTGAGGAAATTAGTTTAGTGTCAACTTTGACATAATATATCATATAGAAAAAAAAGAAAAATCTCGTATTTCTGTTTGTGTTATGCAAGAGACGACATAATTTATGCAATGTATTAACTTTAACGATGGATAGGATCACACGACTAATACAAAACATTTGAATATCTATAAAAAAATAGAATACTTTTCATCTATAAATACTGATGAAAATAATATTGACTGCTGGTTACAAAAATTTAGTTTCATCTTTTAAAATATTGATATTCCTTTCATGTATAAGTATTTTTCTTAGATCTGTTCCTTTTTATTGTGCATCATAAAATAACCATTGATTTAAAACTTCTTGTACGTATCTCTATTTATTTTTTTTTCAAAAGGCAAAAAAGAATCTTCACAATAAACACAACAAAAGAAAAGAAAAGAAGTCATGTATGTTTTACATACGTTTCCTCTTGTGTATATTATTAATAATAAATGCAATGAAGAAGCAAACTGTAACTATGCCATGTGTGTGAGAAAGAAAAGAAAACAATATACTTTTTTTTGATATACTCGGATCTGATAAATATTTTTTTTGATTATATGCAGATCTGATGAATATTTTTTTTTGATTGTACTCAGATCTAATGAAAAATCTCTATCTGCACACGCATGCGAAAAAAAAGAGAGAAAAAAAAAAAAGAAGAATCAATGTTCGTTTTAAATTTAAACAAACCACATGTCATTTGCAATTTTGGAATCAAGAACCATTAATTTTGTTTTTATATCATCCATCGAAACATTTTCAATATTTTCAACAAAACCACCATTATCAGATCCTTGATCAAGATTATCATCAAAATCAAATGTACGTGATGCATATGCAGCTAAATGAGCGTAATGAATTGGTGCAGGAACTGATACTGCTTTTGAACAGCGAGCATCAGTATGACAGAGCTAAAGAATAAAACAAAATTATGATTGCATTTTTTAAATGATTCTATAATGTATTGTTACCCAATAAGTTAACTGTTGAATTTCATCACTTGTAAAACCAATTTCATCATGAAGAACATGATAAAGTGCTGGACGAGATGTTCCCATACTAAAAACAAAAAAACTCAATAGATATTTTTAAAAGAAAAAGAATATTCTTACAGTGCTGCTTGTGAACATAAATAAAAATCGAACTGAGACGGATGTGTGATTTGATGATCAACGACTGTTCCTGCTTCAACATTTTTTGTCATTTGTCCATCATAAACAAAAAATCGTGTATTGTGTCGTTTTTTTACAATAATAAACGTTAATTTTGGTTGTGCTCGATTAACATAAATAGCTTAAAGTAAAAAATAAAAGAAAATTAATTAATTAATTTTTTAAAGAAAATTCCTTTACTTCGGAATGCTTGTTTAATTTTAGCAACTTCATTGTCAAGTACTTTTTGATATTGACCATCATCAACACCATCACGATAAAAAACAATTTTATTTGGTAAACGATTTGCACATGAACGAGCAAATACTTGAAGTAAATCAATAATCATTGCATCCAAATCCTTGATAATTTCCATTGAACAACGGCCCAATTTTGGATATTCTAATATTAGAAAAGTAATGAAAAAAGAAAATTTATATTAAACTAACATACGTTCACAAAGACGTGCTGCATATAGAGAATTGGTTGGATCACGTGAACCAACAACAGCTGCAATGGATGGACGTTCAGCTGAACATGTTGTATGTGTTACCTAAAACAAAACGATTATTTTCTATCTAGTTTAGAGCACATCGGATTGAATCGTAATTCTACTGTAGTTAAATCAAAATGTAAAGATTAGTTTTTTTTGTATATTTTGTAGGAATGAATATCCTAGTTTTCTTTTCCATCATTAAAGTACTTACATCAGCTCCAAAAAACATGAAGAGATCTTCGTTTGATGGTCGACTTAAAGCTGCTTTAAGATTAACAATACCATTGATACATCCCATCTTTGCATTAATTTTTTGACTTAAATTTTGGACATCTTAAAAAACAAAATAATAAAGTTTTATCGAATAAAAAAATTCTTTCATCTCTATTTCTTACACATATCAAGTTTTCCAATATTTTTTTCCAATGATTGATAACTAACACATTGTGTAACTAAACCATAACGTTGATTACCACATTGTTTAACATAATCGTAAACATTGTCAAGGGTATTATTAAGTACAACAACGGTTAATTGCCAATGTTCTTTACTAGCATTAACTAATGTTTTTTCAATTTCTTCTTTAGTTGGAGGTTTAGCTATTGTTATTGGTTTAGATTTAATAAGTATGCCATAACGTTGTAATAACTAGAAAAACAAAAAAAAGGTATGTTATTTTTTCGAAAAATTAAATAAAATGCAATGTTATTACAGGTGGTAATTGTGTTTCAAAATCTTTCAATGTTTGAATAACATTTTCAGTTGGTTTCGAACCAAAATAAACCATTCCCCATTTACTAATATCACGTGTTGTATAAAAACGATTACGTATTGTCCATTTACCAAAATTAACACGTTCGGTTACATCGGAATTACCTTGACCACGATATTTAACTTCAGGTGGTGGTAAAATTCGTGCTTTTAACTGAAGCATTTCCTTTGTTTCAACTTTAATATTTAATTCTTTCAAGTACGGATCACTGTCAAATTGACGATTTTGAACAACATTCATGATTTGATTATAGCGTTGATCAGGTTTGATAACTGATTTTTTTGTTACTAATGCTCGTTGAACACTATCCAATGGTTTTAACGAACGTTCCCATGCAACAAGCTAAAGAAATGAATTTCGATAAATTTTATCTTTTAAATTTTTAAATAATATACTTTAACGAATTCCATAGGTAACCAATTAGCTCGCTTTTGAGTACCACTCATACCATCAATACATGGCAAGTGTGGATATTTCAATTTTTGATATTTTTCAGCAAAAAAATCTGCAACACTTATTTTTTCACCTAAGGATGCATCGCCAGCATCATCGCTAGCACCACGTACAAACATGATTTGATTAGCTGGTAAACCAAAACCACGTATACGATAACGAATATCACGACCTGTATGTAATGTTTCAACTAAAAAATAAATTTAAAAATAAGAAACAATTTTTTTGTCAAATATATTAACATACTTAGCATATTACGAACAATACGTTTAAAACCTTGCAATTCAATTTCACTTAAACCTTTTGTTATATCTTTACGAAGATATTTCGTTGCAAATTCAACAAAATTTAATGGCATATAAAAACAAGTAAATGCTAAATTGATATTTAATGTTGGGCCACCTTGTGTAAGAAAAAGTGCTTGATAAAAACCATTTGCCATACCACGACCGTCACCTAAAAAATGTCGACCATAGATTTTAGAATACTTAAGATTTTCTATATGCTTATTGACTTAAAAAGAAGAGAATTTGTCCAACATTAGAAATTTAATCATGAAAAGCTGAAGTGACTTTTAAAATTTTTCTATGAATAAATACTTACCAAGATCATCCAATTTTTGTTTGCGATCATAGAATTGATTTCTTATCGCAATAAGATCATTTCTTGCTCGTTGTTTAAAAAGTGTTTCAATAATTCGAATGGAATCTCTTGGTCGTATTGCAGTCTTTTTTTCAATAAAATCAAATATATCTCGAATTTTTTCTTGTCGTACGAGATTAAGAACTTGAAACTGGAATGTCTTCTCTTCATTATTGAGATTGAATGTTATTTGTAATGGTTTGGTAAAATCAGTTAATAATTCTCTTGTATAAATCGTTTTACCTTCATCATACCAAATAATCGGAAAATTTTTTTCACGTTTAGCTATACGTTGAACAGTTTCCCAACGTTCATCTTTTCGTGCTAAACGTGGTTTTTTATCACGTCCAATCATAAAAATTTCAATATCATATTGATTTATAATAGCATCGTCAACTTGAATACGAAAATGGTTTGTATATACATCAACTACTTTACCAGCTTTTCCGCCTTGATCAGGACGACGAATTGGTGTTAGAACAGCCGATTCAGGTACAGCAGAATGTAAATATGAACGTCGAGCTGTTGGCTGAGCACTTCGAGAACGGACAACCGGCTGTGCTACTGCAGAATTTAATGAAAGATTTTCCATTGCTTCGTGCAGTGTTGGATATGCACTTGATGAACGTTCTGGTGGAGTAGCAGCAATAGTTTCTGCTGCGGCTGTTGGTGCTTGTGGTGGAGCACCCCAAGCTGGTTTTTTTGGTCCAGCTGACGGCTTTGGACCACTAGTAGTGCTATTAGTAGCACTACTAGTAGTACTATTAGTAGCACCATTAGTAGTTATAGGTTCTGTACTTGGCTTCGTATCAACACGAGCTATTTATGAAAAAAGAAAATTTAATTTAAGAAAAAGAGTAATATGTTTTACCTTGCCGCTTTCCCCATGCAGACATTTTAACTAATGAGAGTGGATGAAAAATTTTTTTTTATGATTCTAGAAGCAAAATATGATGTATATATATATGAAATAAAGTGCGGTCGGAGGTTTCACTTTATCTATTCTAATAAGTAGAGAAAAAAGGAAAGGCGTAGTCACGACGTTTATAAACGAATGAAAAACATTTTACTCGCATAATGGGTATTAAATATCTGTTGTTTAGATATATATATACGTATATCTACAAGCAGAGAAAAAAAAAACAAAAATATCGAGAAAATTTTATTCTCCCGGTCTGGTCACATGTATTTACCCGCTACGGGATGCTTATTATGCATTGGGAGAACGAAAAGAAAAAAAAACAAATGACGAATGAAAATAACCCTCGGAGGGAAGAGGCGAAAAGTGACTGGGCTTTTTTACTTGAATGTAAACATATTTTAAAACATAGATTTTCTCTGTAAATTGGAAGAAAAATTATTATTTTAAGGCTTATAATACTAATACTCTAAATTATTTAATACACTCTGCTTACTTCAGCATTCTTAATGATATAAAATCGATACGATTGCTTGTCTAGTATAAATTGCTTATCTATATATATATATCTTGACGTCACATACTTGCCAATTATACCGACTAAATGAGCTTTTATTCGCTAATGCCTTTTGACAATGTTACTTTTGTATGTTGCTAACAGCGATCTGTTTTTATTTCAACTATCTGTCTGTATCATTTCTTTGATATAGGAAGTGTTTACTTACCAGCTGTATGACTCCTCTTTTTATTTGATCTTTTAATTTGTTTGAAGTTATCATCTTGTGTATTTCTAATGATTGATTTTTATTTCAAAGACGAAGTTTCTTCACTCACAGATAATCGCTAATTATGAAGAAGAATTTATTTAGAAAATATCAAATAATTCAAACGAATGTTTGCTAAAGATCTACAAAAAAAGGTTCAGATGTAAAGTCAATTTTTAGTTTTTTCTTCTACCTAGACACTGTTCAATTCAGATTTGATAGCGAGTGATTATACATGTTAAGCTCTACGTTCGAGAAATGGTGCATGAATAATAGTTATATTCTGAATCACTCATATTAAGAAAATCTTTCTTAGTTTTTGCATCATCATAAAGAGAAGTAATATAAGATCCAAGGAATAAAAATATTGCATTACAATGATGAAATAAACACTAGTTTTGATGTATTTTATTTTCGTTATTTGAAATGCAAATTTTCATCAAAATCACGTAATGAGTTTAATGAAAGTAAAATAGATAAAAGATACTGTCCGTTTCATTCTTTTACAGTTATTAGATCGAATTTCTTTTTTAAGATAGACAATACTTTTTTTAAGCATTTTTTCCATTGAAGATAAATGACAGAACAGAGACCACTCTTGGCAATATTTAAAGCAATACAAACACTTTGTTTTTATACATGAACGCGACCAACAAGGATTAATAAATAAAACACATTTGGGGCAGAGATCAAGCTAATTAGTGAACCGACAGTATCGGTGAGAATAAAATTTTTTCCTCCTCTAAAATACAATACCATAAGGTAATGTCGGCTAACATCTTTTGATATAAATTCGGAGAAACTAACACATGGCAGGTGTTAAACTTTTAAGTTAAATATATATATGAAGATATCTCTGGTTGCATCTTTTATGATAAAGATCGTTAAGTGTATATATATATATTGTGGAAGTGAAGTGTTACATCATTGTTTGTCTATAAAAATAAGATACATTCTATTTTGAGTGATCTGTTCTGTCAGTTATTTTCCAATTATGATTGATTGTTTTAAACGAATAAATGAATGAAACGTGTCATTAATTCGATGATTTAAATATATGAAATTTCACACTTTTTCCACTGAAAATATATTGTAAATGTATGATGTTTCGTTTTACTGAATTTGCTGAAAACAATGAAATACAATGTGAGAAAAAATGAAGCATTTTAATCAACTCAGAATTCTCCAAAAATGAGTACAAAAGATCAATAGTTCTGTAACAATACTTACAAAGAGAGCGAGAGTGGCACATATCTCATTTCTTTCTAAATTAGGAAATTAAAAAACGATATTTCATACAATATCACTGTCCACTTATCTCTGCATTTCATTCAATATAAACGCAATTATTTATATTATCGATTTTCTTCAATTCTAAACACATTCTGTTGATTTCGTAAGAGAAAAGATTCATAAAATTTTATTTTTATTGTTGATAACATTTCATGTTCATATTTTGCTCATCTAAAATATTTTATTTAAAAAAGTAACACAAAATAAACATTATTGATGAAAAACATCTTCTAGACAATGAAATCCTATTGAAATAACATATCATATGGTGAAGTATATTCAATATTAACATGATACTTTGCTGGATCTAATTTTTTGCGTTTAATTTGATTATATATTCTATTAAAAATTAAATCTTTTCATTCATGTATACTTTTAATTTAAAATTGTTCTATGAAAAGACTATAGAGTAATATTCGAGCAAAGTGAAGGTAATATTAATAATTAATTTGTAATTACATAAGATCTCATAAGTGAATAAATTTAAAGTTGGAAGAAGAAGAAACAGCTGCAGAAATCATCAATAATTATGGGAGTAGTAAGAGAATCTCTCAATCAAATACACATGCTTAAAATACAAGAGTTTTGTGTCTATTATTATATTGTCAATGAATATACTGTTTTCCATAAGATATTTAAACAAAAAAAAAATATATATATATATGGAAGTACTGAATCATCTCTTTTGTTGAACAATCAGTCAGGATCTTTCATTGTCAAGTATATTAAGTGTGAAAAAGAATGTGCGTGAGATTATGCAATTATATACGAAAGAACTTTGAAACTAACCGGTTGTCACTATTTGTCTGCCTCCTATAATATAGAAATCACTATTCTAATGTGAATTAGTATTTAAAAAATTATCTATAGTGTTGACAGGGATTTTATAAAATAGTCTCTTACAACTAATATAAAACTAGTCACTGATACTAATAGTAATTCAACGATTCTACGTCAAGAATAACAAAGACAAAAAGATTTATAATTTTGTTGTTACTTGTACTATAAAGAAACTAATTTATTGAGGTATAGAATATTAGTATTAGACATTAGATAAGATCAAGCTCTATGATCGACAGTTTTTAAGTTTTTACTATAATTACGTTTCTTTTATTGTTTTGTCAAGATATACAAAGTTTTTGAATACAATATACGCTAGAAAACGATATGATATCATTTATATAAATTAATAATTTATACCATTAAATATAAAATGAATCTGATATTCTAGTGTAAAGATGCTAGTTGAAATTTTTTTATTGCATAATAGTTCTATTCAATTATGCATATGTATGTTTCAGTCAGTATTACTTAGTAAGATTTTCAATGACATTATTTTATAATGATTTTTTAATCATTAAAAATATTCTTATCGATTCAAAAAAGCAAACCATACATATCTATTTGTCTCTTCCTACTCATTGAATCCAAATATGATCGAAAACAAAAATACAAGGTTTCAGTATCAAACTAATTGACGTACATGATTAATTTGAATTTTTGTTTTCTTCTTATCACTGAAAGTTCAATTCATTTTTTATCTTTCCACTTCATACTGTCCATATTTATATGATTGAATAGAAACAAAAAACAACATGTAAAATCAAACAATAAAATGTTCTTATCATTCCTTTGAAGATATTTTTTATTGTTCTTTTTATTAAATATGTTCATTCGAATAATTGTCACATGGGATTAGACATTGATCAAGTGATATTAAACGAACACGATCTTTAACTTGTAAACAAGTTATATGTTGAAATTGACATGGATTTGATATTGATGATTTATTAATACTTTTTGAATTTTTTCGACGTTTTCGTAATATTGAACCACATGATGAACTTCTTTTCTGTTTATTTAATATTATTGTTGAAAATAAATGTTCATAACGAATATCGCATCGTATTGCTTTATAAAATGAATAAAATTCTTTCGATGCTGATAAATTATGAAAACGTATTACGCCAAGTGTTTCTTGATCAGATAAACGAAATGTAATATGTTGTGCACGAGCTTGTTTAACATCACTAAAACCATTAATTGTATCTTCCCAGATTGGAAAACCAGAACCAATTTCAGCAATAATTAAAGATAAACGTGATTGACGTTTAGGATCAGTACCTGAATTAAGTAACCATACAGGTAAACCATGTTGAAATAATATCCAATCTTCAAGTTTAGCTAATCGATCAGCTGTTGTTATATATAATTCACATAAACAATGACAAGCAAATACTTGAGTACCAATACTTCGATAGGATGATTCAACTTTAAGAATATCATTTGCCGTAAGAACTGTTCGAGTAGATGATGATGATGACGAAAGAATTTGATGAGGAGTTTGTGAACGAGGATGTGTATTATTATCATAAATAGATGATGTTGGTAATGGTAATTGATTATGTATATTTTCATTTTCCATTTGATCTATTAATGATTTACGAGGAACTATATAAAAGAATAATGTTAAAATAGATTTTAATAATTTAACTTACTACGTAATAATGTTAATTTAATATCTTCATCTTTTAATGCTAATCGATCACAACTTTTTGCTCGTTTTTGTTGTTGTTCTTGTTCTTGAGAATTATTTAAGAGGATTGATTTTTTAAAGGTTGGTTCTTGTAATAAATCATTAAAACGTTTTTCAATTGTTTCTAATTCTTCACAACTAAGCCAACCTTCATCTTGATCTTGTTGTTTAATTAATTTATTGGATGATAGTTTTTGATTAATAATACGTGGTGTTATACGAGCAACAGGTGTTTGATTTGTTTGATATTGTTTTGGAACTTTAAGTGATTGCATAGAACGATAATTTGTATTATTAAACTTTGATAGATGAAATGATGAAGTTGCTGAACGAAGTGGTAAAAAAGTTGAAGATGATCGAGATGATTGAGATAAAGAATTATTATTATTATTATTATTATTATTATTCGTATTGTAGCAACTGTTTGATGAGGTAGAAGAGGCAGATGATGATGAAACCGCTGAATAGCGATCGGATGATAATGTTGTTGGCATTCTCTCTAATAGAAAGAAAGAGAAAGATAATCAATTCCGATCAAAAATGGTAATCAATGCAATATGTTGATGTACGTTTAGTTTATAAATTCAGTTGACAAGATGACATTGTCTAGAAATAAAATTAGAGTGAATGAAACTATTCAATAGTTTGCGTGCTTTAATATAAGTTAAAATAAAAGTATATTGTGCGTGTGTATAAAAGAATCTTGTATAATCATAAATACAATTGTCGATCGATGGACAATGTGTGAGTAGATTTGTTATTGTACTTCGCCTTCTCTTTCTCTGTCTCTCTGTCTCTCTCTCTCTCTGTCTCTGTCTCTCTCTCTCTCTCTTAATTGTTGTATAAAAAGACAAAGATGACCATTACTATTACTACTACTACTACAACGACGACGATGATTATTATCACAGGGCGTATGTGAGTCAACATACGACACAAATGTAGAGTGTCCGGTTGTGATGACAGAAAAAAAAGAGGAAAGAAAGAAAGAAAGAAAGAAAGTAGAGAAAAAAAATGAACATCAAGTATGCAATTCAGGAAATTTGTCCATCTATTTAAAGAGAAAGAAAAGACAATTAAATTTTTAATATAGGATCTTATTAGAATTATTAAATATAGTGCATTAAAAAGAAGAATCTAATTGTTAAATTCTTTTTTTTTTTGGTCAATTAAAATACATAAAATAATATCAAGAGACAACTTAATTACGGAATTTACACATGAATTATATTTGTTTGATTAAAAACAATAGATACATAAAGAAAAAAACAATGGCTTTAGGGTTAAATGATTTGTTTATAGCTATTTCCGATTTATTCTCCGCATTTATATCAAGTTTGGTAATAACATTTATAATTATATGTACGTAACATGACAACAATCGTATAATCTCATCATATTATTTCACCGACATTTTTTTTCTGTTAGGCTACTAAACAATTCATTAACGTTCATATATTTTACTCGAAGCATTTTCCTTTTTTTTTATGCTTGATTCAGAGAATAATATTGGTCTCTTCATTAGTACCCTTCGCTTCGCCACCCGCTGTGTTTGTCTGGACGTGCTCAACTATGCTTGTGCTACTTCTTGATTACGTACATATTTGCTGATTTAATACTTCTTTCCTCACTCTCTTCTCTATATTGTATCGTCTACAAATATATATATATATATGCACTTGAACCTTCTTTTTTTTATACCTACTTGTTGTGTAGTCATTTGAAGTATATATGATACAGCAGAGAAGACTGTTCTTATATTCATCTACTCACATGAATCTTTTAGTATTATATTAGTTTCTTCTCGATTACTATCAAAATGTGTGTCTTTTCTTCTTTCTTTCATCCAACACGATTACTTTATATACACATACATGATCACACATCGAACATATTTAGCATTTCATTCGTGATCTATTACGTATAATTCTGCTTTATAATGATTAAAAAATGAAGAAGAATGATATTGATACGATTGTGTCTCTTGTGACATAAAAGAGTGTATTAGAAAAATGCATAAACAGGGAAATGTATTATATAACTTAAATAGATAGTTACAAAATTTTACCATCTTCCAAGGATCAAATATCCCATGTGTATAGTATCATCATCATTATTACTATTATTGTCATCGATATTTGGCTTTTGTCGTTGTATTGATGATAGATGAACGTCAATAATGAACAAACAATTGATTGATGAAGAAGTAACTGACGTTGATAGAAAAAGTGTAGTAAAACAAATATCTATTGAATGATCACAAGTACTTACTTAATATATATATATATATATATTTGTATATTCTTGATATAATAGTCAATATTATTTCGTACTATCGAAATAATAAATTGACTAAACAAATTAGAAGACGAAGAAGAAAAAACTTCTTGATATCTATTTGATATTATAAAATGACATTTTACAGATCCTATTTATTCATATATGTTATGACAACTCAAGGATCAATATAATTCTGTTTTTTTATAAAATAAACATTGACTTGTAAATGAAGAAATAATTATTCATTTATCAAGGTTAAACATTTATGTTTAATTTTTAAATCTTATAAAAAGAAAACGTTACATAAAATAAAAAACAATAAGAAAATCTTATCAACTATAATTGTCTTTGCATTTGAAACAATGGGCATAACTTTCGATTCTTTTGTTATATATTCAATTCGATATAGACGTCCATTACCATCTTCACTAAATAATAAACTTCCATCTTTCATTTCAAGTATTCCAACAGGTCTACCAAATGTTTTTGGACCTTTAGAATCAATCATAAAACCTCGAAGAAATTCTTCATAATATCCTTTTGGACGATTATCATTTCCAAATGGAATAAAAACTAAATTAAAGCCAACACCTATATCACGATTCCATGAACCATGAAAAGCTGCAAATGCTCCATTTCGATAATAATTTGGAAATTGTTTTCCACGATAAAATTGCATACCAAGTACAGATGAATGAGATTGAAAAAGAACATCTGGTGTACGTGTGCGTTCAACTAAATCTGGTCGTTCACTTGAACCATTTAAAATACGACGACGTGGATCAATATTTTTTGATGAAAGATAAGCTACAAACAAATAAATAAACAACAATCGATTCAATAATCTTTTTTTTATTTTCATACCAAATGGCCAACCATAAAATTCATCTTTTTTTATTCGAGTAAAATAATCTGGAACAAGATCGTCACCAATATGATCACGTTCTTGTACAGTTACATATAGATCACCTGTTTTAGGATGAAAATCAATTCCAACTGGATTACGTAAACCCCATGCAAATGTTTCATTATTTGAACCATTTAATTTAGCAACTTGTACGGATGCTCGAGGTGGATATTCAATATCTACATTACTACCAGAACCAATTGTTACATATAATTGATCATTATTTGGTGATATTATTAAACTTCGAGTCCAATGATGTGAATTTTCATATGCCATAATAATTTCTCCAGTACCTTGAAGTCTTTTATCACTCATTTTATATGCATATCGACGAAGATCACCAGAATTAGCAACATAAAACCATCCCTTACAAAATATAAAAACAAAAAATAATAAATGATATAAAATATATATCATTTTTACATACTTTTATAAAAGCCATACCAAATGCATTGGATATTCCATTTGAGTCATCAGCAAAGACTGCTGTAGTATCATCATCAGTTAAAATTGATATTCGATTACCATGCATTTCTGTAACAAGTATATCACCTTTTGGAGTATAAATCATTTGTCTTGGTTCTTTTAAATTATCACGATAAATTGATACACGAAAATTTAAATCCGGAACAAATAATTTTGCATCGTTTGGAATAGGTACAATACTTGGGGCTTTTTGAGCTGATTCTGTATGATAAGGTGGAGGAAGATCATTGACAGTTATACGAATTGGTTTAGGTATAAAAAGTTTAACAGGAACAATTTGTACATTTTTTGTTATAGATAAACAAGGCGAAAAACCAAGTAGAAACAAAAAAATAAACATGATCGATTTGATATATATATCTATCTATCTTGTTATTTTAAATGATTTAAATCGAAACGATATATATATTAATCACATTAACAGAATGACAAGAAAAGTAAGTGTTTAATAAGTAAATGCTGATATAAAGGATTTCTCATTTTTAACTTCCTATGTTTGTTCTCATTTTATTTCTAGATAAATCATTAGTGAATAATCATTTATAATTAATTAATATATCGATCGCTCTAATTAAGAATTTTTTTAACAAGTAACTAGCGTCCTCTAGTTTTTCTCTGTCCAATATGATTAGAAAATTAGAAAAAAAAATAAAAAAATAAAAATAATAAATAAATATTTTATTTAAATCATATATATATTGATTCTTAATTTTTATTTGTTGTTATGAAGAACTTCATTGGAGTGGTTTAGATTTCTATCTTTCAAGATGGTTGCCATTTACAGAATGCGGCTACACAGAGGAAAAAAGTCAACAACAAAAACAAAAATTTTTATATCTGAGATATTTAAATCTAAATAGATTTTTTTTGTTGCTTTGTAGATTTGCATAGGCAATCAAGCCAATTATTTCAAATATAAAGCAAATGGCATCAATAACTCGTTTGTCATTAACATCATCGGCATTATGTCGTTTATTAATGAATCGTAATGCTGGTCTTATTCAACAACATTTACCTTCAATGATTATTCCGTCCGCTGCCCAACAACGAACAATTGCTACTACAGCTGTTCGTCGAGATATTGATTCAGCAGCTAAATACATTGGAGCTGGTGCTGCAACTGTCGGTGTAGCCGGTGCTGGTGCAGGTTAGTTATTTTTTGCTCTATAGATTATCAATGAATATATATATGTATGTATTTATAATTTTTCATAGGTATTGGAACAGTATTTGGTTCACTTGTCGTTGCCTATGCCAGAAATCCAAGTTTAAAACAACAACTCTTCTCATATGCCATCTTGGGATTTGCTTTGTCCGAAGCCATGGGTCTCTTCTGTCTGATGATGGCTTTTATGTTATTATTTGCCTTCTAGAACTTTGACTTTCTTTTTCTTCTTTCAACTAACTATATTTCCCGTGCGTACAAGAATATTTAGGTGATCTTTTTTTTCTGTACCCATCCTGATTCCATTCTATTTCACCAGTAGTCTATTGGTCTTGTTAGTCCTAGACATGTTTTTTCACCAAAGAAAAAAACAGTATCAGAATTATTTGTCTTCTTTCTCTTTTTTTTATGCTACACGTTGCTTTATTATCCTTGAAATAAATTTCAAAAAAAAAGAGACAGATAAGTAATTGTAACCATTCATTAATCGTTCTATAACACGATAGATCTAACATAAAATTAATGAAATAGTTAGATTGTATAGAAGTTATCTACAAGTAAAAATAAATTAATACGAAAAAAAAGTTTATTTTACGCGCTTGTAATATGTCAATATATCATTATGCGATCGATGTTTTACGAAAAAATATGAATGATTATAGTTTTATATATTCACAAGACATTTTTTCATCATTAAATTGTTGTTGTTGTTGTTATTCAAATTCGATACTAATTGAAGAGATTTTAACATGGATTATTATTTGTTCATTAATACTTCTTTTCTATAATACCATTAAATTATGTATTATAATTTTCATAATTCTTTCTATTATATATTGGATATGTAAACAAAGTAAAGTTTTGTATGTGTTGAAAGAATTCTATCAAAAACAATGCAACTCAAAATCTTTAAATAATCAAGAAAAGTTAAATAAAAATGTCAGTTTTTATATAAACATATATTATTTGAGAAAATATATTTGATTTTCAGATTAATTCTGATCAAACGAATTCGAGTAATACAAATATAAAAATGTTCTCAAATAAATAATTATTTTCGTTTAAGATCTTAATCTTAGTATTACATCTGACGATGATTATTTTGATGCTAATAGTAAATTTCATAGTTTCATATTTATTTTAATTATCTGTATGAATCTTAGATTGTGATGATATTGTTATCGAAACAATTGAAAAAACAGATAAAAATCTAAATGAGAAAAAAGCATCTCATCAATCGACAATTAAAAAATTATTTAGTACGATTTTTTGTTCTTGTCTTTCGTGTCAAAAGGATTCTGAGTATTGAATTCAGTTTCGTTCTTTTGTTATTACAGCGGAAAACATTCAAGATCAATTCATATCGAATAATTCAATTTCACAATCTGGTAAAATCTATAAATGAAAACCATAAAGTTTCTATTTTATTTATTAAGGTTATTATGGACCAATAAATACAATTTTATATAGTATAATTGAACGTTCAGAAAGTTCACCATTGATTCAACATGATAAATTTTCTACTGATGGTAAATATTTTTTTAATATTTTCCTTTCGAGAAAATAAAACTCTTTGAAGATATTATTGAACAAACGAATGATATTCGTCAAATGATTCAAGCATTACATAAAGATATTTTACAACTTAAAACAAATTCAAAGAAAGAAACAATGAATGATCTATCAATAGAAGAACAAACTATACTAAATATAGCTACAAAAAATTTAATTCAAGTAATCATATCGACTAGAATCGATAATAGATCGAGTGAAACAAGTAAATAGAATAGTTCATACTTAAGTTCTGTAGGTAAAGATAACTTTTTTTTTAGAACTGTTAAATAATGTTAAGAATAATAAATATAATGAAAATTCACATTCAGATATTGCTTTAAATGAAACAGAAAATTTACTGACAATGCATTTTCAACATCCTAATTGTGTAACTGTATTTACTATAAATTCTAGTATGCCACAAGTACCAACTAAAACAACTGTAATAGCTACTAGTGATGATGATGAAGACGAAAAATCATATGATGATTATACTGTAACATCACAACATTTTATAACTACTAATGAAGACTTTGAAAATATTCTTTCAAGAGATGAACGAATATCAAACAATGAATTATTTCTACAGGTAAAATTTGTTTCGAAAATCTTTTATTTACAAAAAACAACTCTTTCTTTATATTAGCAAGATTCAGTTATGTACAATAATGAACAATTAGATTGGCCTTATCATTCATCAAAACTAGATCCTTTTTCTAATACTATCCCATCTCATCTTCCTATTGCTCAATCTAATAATCGAGATTCATCATTTAAACAAATATTTCTCTCTCGTTTTCATCATCATCATCATCCAATAAATAATCTATCTACATTACAATCTTCATCAATTAATGCTTCGAATAATCTTTCATCTCATTTAACAACTTTAAATCATTCAAAACAACGAATATTTCGAGTTCGTAAAAGTCGAATTATTGTTTCATTCGATGATATTCAACAAGAAGATGATGGTAGAATTCATTTTCATTATTTTTTTAAAGCTATTATTTGTTTGTTTTACAGCTGGTACTACTGTCATTTATGATATATTACTAGATACTAATCATGCTCATTCTGATAATGAACAACAAACAAATGATTCAATTATATCACTTTTTCATTCGTTTAATTCAGCTATTCAAGAAAGTGAAATATTAATACCCAATAATCAATCATTCTATCGAGACCGTAGTGAAAGTGAAGATTCTTCATCGGAGATTAGCAATAGTTTATACAGTGTAACGAGTCAATATGTTTTTATATAAAACATTTTTTAATCGAATAAACAATTTAAATATGACATGCAACCTTTTATCACTAATAAGATTAAGTAAAGAGTCTTCTGTTATCATCAATGCACTCTTCATCATTGATATACTACTCAGTTACGATGAATAATAAATCAAAATTATACTGTTGAGTACATCAAAGAGTAGTTCTTCCATAAAGAACTATGTTGATCTTATCTATACTTATTCACAAGTCAAAATACTGTTCATTTTATATTTTTTATGTATATTGATAAGCTAGAGAAGTAGTGTTAGTACTATCCTCGATTTATCATTATAGTTGTGTCCATGTTATATATTCTCTTAACTAAAAATTCATCATCAATAATCAGAAATCTATATTCTGTGTCCTTCTATTATCATCATCATCATCAACCTTTGCATTGTACTTCTCGCACATCTATTCTACGGACATGTCAACATGTAAAAACGAACAGACAATATATGTACATATATTCTACTCCGTTCTTCTGTTTGTTCAAGCTTTATTGTTATCCCATATTGTCCAATCAATGTAAAGTGCATGAGCGCGATCGAATGAAGAAAGAAAAGAAAAGAGAAGAGAATGGCACATCATATCTTATACACATCCACTATTCTCTAGTTTACTTTTACTGAACAATGAATATAATTCAAACAAATCAAGTAAAACCACTTCCACCAAGTTGTTTTTCATTTGGTGGTAGTACAAAACCAATATCAGAAATTATGTTTAATAAATATGATTTAGATAAAAATGGTTTGTTAAAAAATAATACATATATTTCAAATAAAATTATTTCCATTAGGATCAATATCACGTGATGAACTTCGTTCACTTTGTTATGATATGGGTTATTATTTATCTGATGATGAACTTCAATGGGCATTAACATTAATTGATAAAGATGGAAATGGTAAAATTGATTATAAAGAATTTGTAGATTGGTGGCGAACATCATCACGTTTTGAACATCTTCGAATGCCTAATACTTATCAAACACAATTAATATGTCATATAGCTGAAATATTTCGTTCATATGATAAACATAATCATGGTGTATTAAATAAAAAAGAATTTGAAAAGATGCGAAAAGATTTAATTCGTCATCATATTATTAATGAACATGAACATCAAGCATGTCAGTTCGAAGAAATTGATCGTGGACATGATGGTAGTATTAATTTTAATGAACTTATTGCTTGGTTTAAAGACATGGGAGTTTTAGATAAAATCGGACTTTCACTTTCATAAAACTTTTTTAACTGATTTGAACGAATAACGTTGGTTTTTTTTGTTAACATGTTCTATTATTTATTCAGTTATAAAATTTAAGCGAATATTCACTTCTTATTGTTCTCATGTATCATATTTATATCAGCGCATGTTAATTAGACAAATAAATACGACTAGAAAAATTACAGGATGATCTTTGGAAAGTTATCAATTTTGATTTAAATATATTTATACTAAAATGAAGTTTTTTTATTCAGTTTGATAAGTATCTGGTTGTAAATCTAATGAGATTTCATTTAGTTCATCAGTAATGATTGATTGCAATACTCTTTTTTTTGGCTTTGTTAAACTGAAATCATTAATGCATCAAATATTTTTCAATAGATGTCATTAGAATCATTTTATTTTATTGGTTAAATAAAACCGGTCAGTTACTTATAAGTTATTATTATAAAAACAATCCGACAGACAGGTTAACAAATCAATATTAGACGAATAAAAGAAAAGAGAATAAAAAAAATAAACAATAGTTCTATTGTAGATCTTGTAATTTTTTTTTCAATCATGAACATGGCATCATCATCATCATCGACTCCTTCTCCTAACCCTATTATTACATCGAATGGTAGTGGTGGTGGTGGTAGTGGACCTCCATCAGCTGGAGCTAGCGGTCAAACATCTAATAATTCAAGTACAAATGCAGGTCAACAACAAACATCAGGTTCAAATAATCCAGCAAATGATACACCCGTTTCTTCTGAACGTATTGCTTGTTGGATAACTGAATTATTATCGTCGACAACACGTGAAAATGCATTAATGGAATTAAGTCGTAAACGAGAAAAAGTTGTTGATTTAGCTGTTTTACTTTGGCATTCATTTGGATCTGTTGCTGTTTTATTGCATGAAGTTATGTAAGTTATTTGTTTATTTAAAATATATATATATATCGAAAGAAAATGATTTTCTTTTTTGATTAGTTCGGTTTATCCTTATATAACACCTCCGACATTAACAGCTCAACAATCGAATCGTGTTTGTAATGCATTAGCATTACTTCAATGTATAGCATCACATCCTGAAACTCGTTCACTTTTTATTCAAGCAAATATTCCTTTATTTCTCTATCCATTTTTAAATACAAAATCATCAACACGACCATTTGAATATCTTCGTTTAACATCTTTAGGTGTTATTGGTGCACTTGTTAAAACAGATGAAACTGAAGTTATTAATTTTTTATTAACAACAGAAATTATTCCATTATCATTACGTATAATGCAATCAGGTAGTGAATTATCTAAAACAGTCGCAACATTTATTTTACAAAAAATTCTTGCTGATGATTGTGGTTTAAATTATATATGTCAAACATTTGATCGATTTTCACATGTTGCAATGGTTTTAGGTAGAATGGTTTTACAACAAGTATGTATACATGAAAAGAATTTCAATTTAATGTTTCGATTTATTTTTTCATAGCAAAAAGAAGCTAGTGGAAGATTATTAAAACATATTATTCGTTGTTATTTACGTTTATCGGATAATGCACGTGCTCGTGAAGCACTTCGTTCATGTCTTCCTGATTGTCTTAAAGATCATACATTTGTAAATATATAATAAAAGAAATCTTTTTTTTTGATTTTTGACTTCGTTTTTGTGAATTTCAGGATGCTGTTCTTAAAGAAGATCAATCAACAAAAAAATGGTTATCACAATTATTACTTAATCTTGAAACACCGGTACCAACAAATGCAAATAATTCTCAACAACAAACATCTGGTAATAATGTTGTTTCACAACAAACTCAACCAGCATCACCACTTGGAATGGGATAAATATAATCTTATCTGATATTTTATGTTTATTTTTCTTTCTTTCTAACTATCTCTCAAAACGCCTAGTCATTTAATTATTTAACTACATAATACGAGCATTATAAAGAAAAAAACATTATTGTTAATGATTCATTCTCCTATAAGAAAGATTGTTCATTGTACATTTTTTTTTGATTCGAAAAAGTAACATATCTTGTAGACACGTTGTCCTTTTTCTTTATTTGTTCTTTTATTCTATATTTAAAAAAAAATACACGATATTGATTGTGACCAGTCACAATTCATCGTCGATATGATAAAAATATATTCGAGAAAGATAATATTCAATTATAATGATTTGATCTTTGGAATATTTACAATTAGAGATATACAATCTGAATAAAAATTTATTTCTATATGATCAAAATTTTCGCGCTTTTTCTATTTCATCAATCAAAGAAGAAAAAACGAAACGAAAAAGTTATTTTAATGTTGACAAAAACGTTTTCCTGGATGTTGTGGACATTCTTGTCGAAGTTTTTCTTTTATTTTCTTAGCTAAATCTTCTAATTGTTGTTGATTAATTTTTGTTTTATTTAAATCACCATATAATTCTTTAAATTGTTCATCAAATAATTCTTCCCATTTCTTATCTTTTTCTTCTTTTCCATCAGATTTTTTTTCACAACAACCCAGTTTATCGTGCTGTTTTTTATCAAATATTTTTATCATTTCCCAAGCTTCATCTGCATTGATTTTATTTGTACCATATTTTGTTTTAAATTCATTCATAAATTCATGTTTTACATTATCATCTATCAATGATGGTCCACCACCATGTGATGGACGCATTTTATTTGAAATATTACGAAGTAGATCACGTGCTTGATTAGCATTTAATTCTTGAACATTCAATTTAGTTAATTCATCTTTGATAGACGTTTGAATATAATTATCTATTTGTGTATGCCATTGTTCTTTTGCTTGACTACCAAACGATAATAATGTTGATTTAGCTTGTTCTTTTGTTATTGTATCTGAATTAATTTTATCTAATTCAGATTCTAATAGTTGAGTTAATTTTTGTTTCATTTCGTCGCGTATTGGTCCAGGACGATTCATTCCACCACGACCACGATTACCACTACCACGACCCATTCGAAATTCTTCTAAAGCTTGTTTCATTTTTTCTTTAGTAATCGATGTTTGACCATTAAAAATTCGTTCAATTTCATCTTCCATAAATCGATTCGATTCGTTCGACATTTTTTTTCGAAATAAAACAAAAGAAAATGAATAGAATAAGTTTTTAAATACTCTTAGTTACATAATTAATTTTTGCGCATAGATAGTTTCAATAATTATTTACACAATTTACATATATAGTATTGATAGAGATTGCAAATAAGTGTTTATAATCATATGTATTGAAATATTTTTATAACATAATTTCGTCGATAACAGGTGTTTGTTTTATCAAAATATCTCGTATTTCTAATAAAACTTTTACTTCATTACTTAATTCTTGTTTCTTCATCATTCCTTCTTCTAATTGACGTTTCGTCGCTAATCCATGTAGTTTATTAATTGATTTAATAATGAAAAATAAAACAAGTCCTATAATAAGTAAATAAATAAGCTCTTGAATAAATTTTCCATAACGAATAACAACAGGTGGTTGATCTTGATATACAAAATTATGCATTTCTACTGTTAAATCACGAAAATCAACACCACCTAAAAGAAGTCCAAATGGTGGTGTTATAATATCTTCAACAAGAGATTTAACAACATTAGCAAATGCAGTACCAATTATGATACCTATAGCCAATTCAAATACATTGCCTTGTAAAGCAAATCTATTCAAATAATAAATTGATACATTGAAAAAAATACAATTTTATATACATACTCTTTGAATTCTTTACAAAATTTTTTACAAAAGTTACATGAATTTAATATTTTCATCTAGTACAGTTGATCGGATTTATTGAAGTAAATACTGATCTATAACTTTTCGATATGCTACTTAATGATATGTATATATAAAAAACAAATATTGATAACTACTCATTTTACATAAAAGAACATCTTTTGATCAACGATTATTCTTATATTTACATTAAAGTATTAGACAAATCAATATAAAATCTTTCAAGTATGTAATACAATTTTCTTTATTTGAGATAAATATTCAGTTAAATATAAGAAGGATAAAAGTATCAAAGTTAATTATTATTGTCATACAATAATCACATTATTGCTATGCAAATGTTTTTTTTATTAGAGATCTTGAATTTGAATCGTTTTACGAGCTAATAAATCACGAATTTCATGTAAAGCTTTAACTTCATCACTGTATACTTTGGCAGCAACTACTTCTACAGCAACCTTCTTTTTTAATGCTATTTTATGTAATTTGTTCACTAATTTAATGATAAAAAATAATACGAATGCCACAATAATTAAATAAATTATTGTTTGAAGAAATTTCCCATAACGAATGACAACAGGAGGTTGACTGGTATAAACAAAATTTGGAATTGAAACTGTTAAATTAACAAAATCAACACCACCTATAAGTAAACCAAGTGGTGGAGTTATTATATCGTTAACAAGTGATTGAACAACATTTGTAAACGCTGTACCAACAACAAGTCCAATTGCTAAATCAAACATATTGCCTCGTAAGGCAAATCTAATAGAAATAAACAAAATTATTCTGGAGAATACGAAAACTGTTATACATACGCTTGAAATTCTTTACAAAAATTGAAACAAGCTCCACAGCAACGCGGCATTTTGATCTAAAATATAGAGCGGATTAAACTTCTTTTAGTGAAAATAATTATAGATGTTTTTCATTGTTTCTTTTCTTCATGAGTGCAAAAGAAGTAATTAGAAAATGTGTTTAACTAAAATTCTATAACAATAACAATCAGCTGCATAATGTTTGAGAAAAGAGTTTGTTTCCATTGACAATAATTGATCTGTTCAACATGATGAAGTTAACGGTTTCGCTTGAATATATTTTGGTTGTTATTTAAAACTATCTTACAAAAATGAATTTTTTATTGTCAAAGAAAATATCAAATGTTATAAATTCTTATAAAATGATATTATCTTTTTGAGAAAGCTGAAAAAAATAACATTTCAACAAATACAACAGTCACAAAAATTATCGTACCCAACTGAAAATTATTCAAATTCCAACCATTTGGGGTCATATTTTTATTATGAATAGAATTTCGTGGATCCTGACTACAAGCATCAGCCTGAACTCGATTAGTTAATGTATATTAGAAATAGTACTAAATGCAGTATCGTAACTAAAGATTTAATATGTTTTTAAGCGTATCACACTGCTCTAATTAATGGGAAAAAATAATGAAACTGTCAGTGTCAAGAATTAACTAATTGCATCATAGATTTATTTTTTTACCTATATGATACATATAGTTGTCAACGGTAAAAAAACAACTGACAGTTTTGTATAACTAAAACCTAGAAAGAACATATTTCAATGCTAGTTTATCAAAACTTTCAAATACAAACTTATTTTCAATTAAACTGATGAAGGTATATCAAATAAATACTAAGATTTCTTTATTTTAATAACTTGGAAACGTTGTGGTGTTTTTCTCGACTAATTCTTACTGACATTGTTTTCTCGCTATCCTTTATAATCTATAGTAACAGTAATAAACTTATTTCTTCTTTAGCTGACTGGTAAACAAGAAAGCATATTCACTGAAAAGAAGAAAAAAAAGTTCTGAAACAGCGAACATAATTACTCGTCAGCGTTTTCAATTCTCTAACTGAAAATATCATATTATTTGACAGGCATATTTTTTCTTTTTTTTCTTTTCTTTCCGGTGCGACCACGTTCTAAACGTGATTCTGAATAAAATCTAATTACATAGTAAACAATATAAATGATAAAAATACTACAACAAAATGAATTTTGATGTATCTATTATTTATTACACATATATGTATATTGATAGAACTAAACAACATATATTTTTTCCACTAAAATAATTTCATTAGAGTATATCAAGACTTTCTAATTGTGTTAGTTAATGAAAGAAAAAAATGAGATAACTACATCTTTAGAAGGGTAGATAATCTTCAACTTCATAAAAAGTAAGTAATACGGTTCTTTTCAAGATTAAATAACAAACATCAAAAATTTAACAAAGAAGTTATCGATGATATCTACAATAAAACAGTAGATCATTGAACTTTTCAAATTTAATTCATGATAAATATTTTGTTGATGTACTGATTTACAAAATAAAATTATACTATGAAATTAATATATATCTTCTACTTCTGTATAAAGTTCTCTTCTCATCAGCTCGCTTACTTTGTGATTGCATGTTATCAATTTATTTTTAGTCTTCTTTGGAAAACTAAAAATAAATAATCAACGATTCTAGAGATTTAGAAAAGACAGTATCCTGCATTTTCGCAGATAGTCTTTAACATGCTAATGTGATATCGATATGGCATGAATATAATCACAAAAAATAAAACTAGACATGTTCAACAAAGATTGAGGTACTTCATAATTACTGCCAGAAATTAATCTATAATAATGGAATCTGATACAGTAAATATTTTTTCTTTTGTAATAAATCAGAATTTTTTGACATATTTAATTTAGATTTATGATGATGTTGAAGAAACATTTTTTAACTTCCCTAATTATAGATAAACATAGAATAACACTGATATATAGGATGTGGGTGTGGGTAAGTGAATTTGGAGTATTAACTACACGTCTACCTACACCCGTAGGCAGATAGAACTAAATAGCCAGTAAGAAAATTCTTCTTCTATGAACTGGACAAATAAAAATATGACAATTATCTATTTCAAATATAGTTAATGAATAACTGAAAAATCCTTTGAAAGGAAGGTATTAATTAATAAAAAATTCACATTATATGCATCTGGCTAGATATTCTTTTCTTGTACAATAACTGATTGAGTTGTTACTGTATATAAAATAGATATTAAGAGTGGAATGCAAGACAGTTCTCTTGTACTTTGTTTGATTTCTTCATCGATATATTATTAATTTTCTTATGAATGAATAATAAGACATATAATAGCAAAAGATAATTATGTATATAGAAATTTTATTGAATTTAAATATGAGATTTATTGAAAAAGAAAAAAAAATAGGACTATCAACAGCAGAAATCATACAGATTCAAATTTCATATTCATCCTACATCGATAGTTTATTTTATAAAACGCTATGAAAAGAATTTTAGTCAATGAAAGTTCATTAGAAAAATTGTTATTATTAATGATATGAATAAACTGGCACTTGTCAGGAGTGATGCTTTTGATGGTGTTGTTGGCGGACTATTTGTGGATTGTGTGGTCGTTGGTGGACTATTTGTAGGCTGCGTGGTCGTTGGTGGATTAGTTGTAGACTGTGTGGTCGTTGTTGGATTAGTTGTAGACTGTGTGGTTGTTGGTGGATTAGTTGTAGACTGCGTGGTCGTTGGTGGATTAGTTGTAGACTGTGTGGTCGTTGGTGGATTATTTGTAGTCTGCGTGGTCGTTGGTGGATTAGTTGTAGACTGTGTGGTCGTTGGTGGATTATTTGTGGACTGCGAACTTGTTGATGTTTGCGGATTAAAAGGACTTAAATCACCTATTACGACAGTGAGGTCAGATTTAAGCTAAAATATTTAACAGTTTTAAATCATTTTTTATTTTATTATCATTCAATGACTTACTTCAGTAAATATTTCTGGTCGAGAACAATCATCAGCTTGACAATAAATATCAACTTCCCACAATTCAACACTAAGTGGTTGTTTATTAAGATATATTAAACCTTCGATTTCCACTCGATGTGTATCAATATGAAAATCATCGGAATCAGGTGGAGCACAAAATGATTGATAACATTGCAAATCATCATTTGGTTTATCAAATGTATCGAGAACAAGACATGTTGTATTACATTCCTTAATAGGACAATGACTTGTATCGAGATAATCACTGTGACCACACTGAGGTCCATCAGGACATTCATGACAATTACGAATTGGTTGTCCAGTACCTTTAATATTTGTATTTAACCATGCTTCTGAAAGACGCATTTGAAAGCTATTTGGCATAGATGGTATAAGACTTGGATGATTACATAAATCATAATTACATCCATAAACAACAAAATTTGTTATTGTATCCCATCGATTTAGTTGTTCATCATATAAGATTGATTCTTCGACGAGTAAATAAGGAAAGTCTTGGATATGCACACGGGTTGAATCTTGACTAATATGTCCTAAAGAAGTCCAAACATCTTGACCATAGCTTTCACGCATAATCATACAATAAGTTTGATTTGCGGCCATAATTGTTGTTCTTTCACAAGTACAATTAGGTTGATTATGACAATAGCAATCATAACATCGACGTTGTGGAATATTTGGATCATATGTTTCATTAAATAAAGCAGCAAGAGTACCTGGTACTACACTTAAGTTTTCACGAAGTTCTTTAAATATACTAGGACGTGAACAGTCATTAGCACGACAATAAATATCTATTTCCCATAAGTGAACAACATTTTGTTGACTGGCATAAACAATACCTTCAATTTCTACTTTATGTCGATCTAATTGATAATCTTGTGTATCAGGTGGAAGACAAAAAGATTGATAACATAGATAATCATATTCTGGATCTTCGTAAGTATCTAAAACAAGACAAGTAGTATTACATGATTGAATTGGACATGTATTTTCCTCAAGAAAATCAGTTGTACCACATTGAGCTCCTTCTGGACATTGATGACAATTACTAACTGGTTGTCCACTACCTAGAATACTTGAATTTAACCATGCTTCTGGAAGACGCATTTGATAACTATTTGGTAAAAGTGGTATAAGTTCAGGTTTGTTACATAAATTCCAATTACATCCATAAACAATAAAATTTGTTGTAGTGAACCATAGACCAGTTTTTTCATTATAATCAATTGATTCTTCAACAAGTGCATATGGAAATTCTTCAATATACATAAGTGTTGCATCAAGTTTAAGATAATCTGCATAAATATAAGCTTGTTGACCAAAATTTTCACGTACAATAACACAATAAGTATAATCAAGTGAACTTACGACGGTTGATGAACATGGACATGTTGGCTGATTAAAACAATCACAGCTGTAGCATCTCAAAGGATTTGGTATTGGTGTAGTTGTTTGTATTGGTAATGGCCGAATAGGTGGATATGCCGATAGATCACCAATTTCAAGTGTAAGTTGTTGTGATACTTCTTGAAAAATAGTTGGGCGAGTACAATTATTAACTGCACAATATACATCTAATTCCCAAATATCATATTTTGAACGATCTTTTGCTAAATAAACAACTGCTTCAATATCAATTCTGTATTTACCACCATAAATTTCAGCATTTGCTCCATTCAAATATTCTGGTGCACATTGTGATTGATAACATTGTTCACCCGTAGCAACATTATTCCATAAATCATAGGCTAAACACTAAAGAAAAAAAAAAGTTTGAAAAAATAATCAAGAAATAGTTTTTAATAATTATTAGCTCATATTACCGATGTTACATTAGTGTTACAAGTTACCATTTGACATTGATCAAAATCACTCGGATTTGTTGCATCACCACATACTTCTGTATCACAATGATGACAAGAAGTAACAGAACCAGTACCATAAATATTTGAATTTAGCCAAGTTGAATTAATATTATACTTGAATGAATTAGGCAATGAATTGATAAGACTGGGAGAATTACAAAGATCCCAATCACATCCAAATACAACACTACCTGTCCATAAATACCATTGGTTAGTTGTTAGATTATATCTAATAGATTCTTGTGTAAGAACATAATAAGGATCTTCAATATAAACCCAACTTGAATTGCGAGGGATTCGACTTAATTGAACATATGTTGTACCAACATATCTTTGTTCCAGGATAGCACAATAATCATTATCAGTTATATCACTTGTAGTATCACAATTACATGTTGTTGTATCATCCTGATCACATCCACATTCATAACATATAAGACTATTACTAGGTACTATTGACAACAGCAATAGTAGAACAAAACCTTGAACGATCATCATACACTATGATGGATACAAACTAAATAAAATATTTTAACCGTGATTGCAAATAAAAGATTACATATATATATACATCCTACCCTTTTTTTTCTCCTGTATTTACAGTTAATAAATTCATAAAAGATATTTTTGATAATCCACTTAGAATTAACGATAGCATAGATCATATAAAACTTTAAATCAATTGTAAAAGATTTATCTCTAACTTGTTGTAACAACGGTATAGACTTTATAAGTAGCAACAATAGTCGTATTAGTAACTACACTTATCGAACGTATTTTTTTTACCATTGTACAATATTTACTTTTTCCTATTTTATATATTTATAATTTAAGAACAAAAAGCTTGAAGAAATTTTCAACACTTTATTTTCAGTAACATTTGCCAAATATTTTATCATCTTTTCAATAAAACCTTGCCTATATAATTTTTTATGTTCGAATATCAAATGAAAAGATTTGATAACTATTTCCTCGTTAAAATAATAATGTAGATTATTTTCTAAATTAATAATTAACAGTAATACTATTTCGTTAAAAATTATATGAAATACTAAGATTCTTTTTTTCTCAATTACTTGACATTCATCAAATATATTTGATTGCTGCACAATTACAATAATGAGGGTGGGTGTCGTTGTATATTATTTTATCCACACCCACTTTTCATTACAAATCTTTTATTTGATAAAATATATTGTATTCTTGAGTTGAATATACAGAAATTCACATAATTAAGAGAAAGAGTAAATTTGCATAATATTCAGTTTAATTTTAGATTCTACAGGGTTTTTGTTTTACAAAAATAAATCTCTGAATGTTTATCTGAATTTGATAGTAGAAAATGTCGTTGGTTTCAAGAAAGTATTCAAC